TTATATCGTACTCATGACATAAGACCTTTCTGAAAAGCAAGTCAGTCTTAGTACGTAGACCCCTTACGTTTTGATAGTAAATTTTTAAATTAGAACCGATTTTTATACAGATGTAAATATATATATGTCGTACATACTTTAGAAAGAAGTGTATGAACAAAAATGTATTTAAATGTTGTAGTAACCGTATAAATTAAATAATATGAAATTAAAACTATCACCGAATGTGTCAAGGTCTCGTGCACAATGAAAATAAGCCTATCATACATTACGTTTAAAACGAAAAAGAGAACAACCATAAAAATAAAAATAAGTTTGTCATATATAACATTTAAAACAAATTGGACAACTACCAACAGTAATGCAAATAACATATCATAAGCCATTATATAGTTAAAATAACAATTAATTACATTAATTAATATAGTAATTCCTATTTTATTTTGAATAAATCCGTATTTATGTGTAAAACAGGACTAGATTCAGATTTTCTAACCATAATACTACAGTTTTTAACACATACAAATCTATAGTTATTATCCTTAGCCTTAATTTTCACCTGGCGCGATAAAGATTTATTACTGGTCAAGTGGTCGTTGAAAAATATCGAAGATTGAGTACCATGAAAACCAAGATCACATGCTTTTAAGCTTTTAAGTATCTTTGCCTTACACAGAAAGTCATCTTTATTATACCTCGATATAAATCGCACTATAATTGGTTTAGGTTTTTTGGAGTCCTTGGTAGATGGTGCAACGCGGGTTATAAAATCAATATCCGATTTGGTAAAAGAAAAATTAACGTGCTTTGATATATTCTCAATAATTTCGAAAAGATTTTCGTTCTTCTTCTCGGGAATGCCACAAATTTCAATATTGGAACGCCGTGCCCATTGGTCTCTAACATTATTTTCATGCTCCAACTTTTCCAGTGAAGATTTTAGTATACCTATGTCATTACTCAAGCTATTTACCGACGTTAGGCTTTTATCATATATTTCAAATTTTTCTTTCATCTCATCATACTTATTATTAATGAAAGTTAAGGACATTTTTATTTCCTGTACCTTTTCCTTACTGCTTTTAAGCTCGGAGTTTATAAAGTTCTTAAAACTAAATTCAAGATCTCTTTTTAGCCCTGAAATCTCTTGCCTTATAAAACCCCGTAGGTCGCAAGAAGAGTCTGCAGATTTTTCTATCACTGACACTGGCGAGGTAGTGGGGGACTTATTCTTCGAATGTTTATTTCGCAATGTAACATTAAGACTGTCGGTGTCGCATTGCTTATGCGCTGGAATGCGGACAGGTGTACTATCCTTTTTAACTGCTTTAGGTTGCTTTGACAAACACGCTGGGCAGGTCCAATCTGACCCATTGCGAAGTGTTGGGTCTTTTTTGGATGATGCAGACACACATTGCAGATGGTAGTAGCCACTACAACTAATACATATTATAGGCACATCAGTTTTTGCTACAGCAACACGACAGCAAGCATACAACAAAGCCATCTTGATTATTTAAATTTAATTTTAATTTATTTTAATAAGCAATAAGCAAAAATTGCAAAAATTGCACTGGAACCCTTACGTTCTGCCCGAGAGTCCAATATCCGTATAACAGTGATCGTTTACCTCGTCAATGACACACAGCGGTCGCACAAATAAACAAAATAAACAAGCGCTTAAACACTAACACAAATTTTAGCAATGTTTATGTATTATAACTCACAGTTTAAATAACACTATTCAATTTATTTTGACAGTAGCAATGTTTACTTTAGAAATCTATACAAATAAATAGTAAAAGTACACTTATGTCGGCAAAAACACAGACTAAACTGAGAGGAAATATTATAATACGTGGTGCTCGCTTAGGCGTCGCAACTGAACTAACTTGTTGAAACAATAGCAAAGGTAATTAATAATGTGTAAGTATTTATTTAGATAAAAGTAATTTTACAATAATATGACAGTGCACAATTATACAGACGATAAAGAGAGAGAGCACATTCGCTTATAGGCAATAGACATACGCATTAGGAACATTGCTATTAAATTTAGCGCAGGCGTCCATACACTTAAAAAAGTTGTTGAAAGGCCTATCCAACAACATCCCACTTAATGTGGTTGGCGGATTTAATTTTGATTCAAAGCAGTATTTTACAAGCAAATTCATGCGGAGTCATAGGGTGTAATCGTGTTTAAAAGAATACCCCAGTAGCTATTGAAGCGGAGCACTCATAAAAAGAATACCCCAGTAGCTATTGTAGCGAAGCACTCATAAAAAGGCGACAGAAAACTGTTGTAGCTTGAATTTCAAAGAAATTCCAGAAAATACATTGAAGTGAAGAAATGGTACTCATTTCATCACTCCGATGAACTTAGACACAGCCACCTGCATGCGTCTGAACTGATCGAAAACAAAGGACGAAATTACAGAACACTATTACTCCTATCGGAGGCCGAAATGAACAACGTTGTCGCTAGTCTGACAACGCAGCGTGATATGTTGGCGCGCTAAAATCCTCTAATGTACCGCCACCCACGTGATATCACCCGTACACGTACACGCAGCCCGAATGTTCACGACGATAGCCGATAATAGTCGGTCACATCGGCGTGTATCGTGTCACTTTGTGGCGATACACGCAGATGTGACCCTAGCATAAGAAAAACGGCTGGATGGTATACCTCATCTATGACATTCGCTAGGTTCTATAATCACCCAGTAACGGATGAAGGAGAATTTGATCGATTCGTCTGTGCGATTAGTAACTAAAACTAACAAATAATAAGACAAATTATGTATTTATTTGTTTAAATCATTAAAAAAAGTTGGAAGTATTTTTATATTTTTGTTTACGCAAATTAAAGTTTTTTCCTAATACTTTAATCTGTGGTAATCGCTCTCATCTGGCTGTAATTACTATTTCCTGAGATTATATTTAACCAAATAGTTATGGGATATTGGGAAATCATATGTAAAACACATATTTCTAAAATATATCAATATTCGATATCAGTTCTTGTTGAAAATCTGAGTTGCTAAAATATCAAACGGCAATTGTTAAAACAAATTCCAAAATTAATGAAAAGTCTTTTTAAAATTAATCTATAGAAAAATTCAAAACGTGCTTTGATAATTTTCAGCAAATATAAAATATGGCAAACGTCTACTCGATTGTGTAATGATGACTATATCATTAACTTTTTAATAAATGTTATTATTCTATAAATACTATTATTAAACGAAGTACTGCCTCCCTAAGGGGGAATATAAACTCAAATGGCTTAGCAAGATCCTTCGTTATACCGAAAATATTCCAGCATTAATTTTGAAATAAATGTATGGTAAAGTTGAGGATTAATTTTAAGTACTATGTTAGACGAAAACATGATTCCGTAAAATTTTCTCGATAGAAAAAAAAACCAAAGTTACCTCCAAACTGAACAATAAACCGCTGTTATTCATAAAATACTTTAAATAAGATCATGAAACTTTGCATACTAACTGAACTAACTATAAAGCAGGGCTTACGTTTTTTTATTTTTTTAAATTACCATTATTTTCAGTGTAAAAATAAATTACCTAAACTATCGGCGTGCTGAAGCTTGTTTCCTGCTGCCCGGTTCCAAGCTTCAGGACGCCGATAGTTTAGGTAATTTCTTTTTACAGTGAAAACAATGGTAATTTTAAGTTTTTGAAATGATTTATCGTCAGTTAAAACCTATATTCATAAAAAAAAGTCGGAATTTTTAATTTTGTCAGATAACATCTTTGACCACTTAGCCTTTAAACTATATTTTCACAATTTGCACCAGCGAAACCTGCATAATGTCATCGTGGCGGATATAATGGACGACTACATCCTGGGCCTAGACTTTATGAGGAATAATTGTTGTGAGATCGACGTTAAGCAAGGTGTTTTTAAAATTGGACAGGAGGAACTTTTTGTGGAAGGGGCGTTACCAGGGAACGTGTACAGCATTAAGAATATTGATCTTCCGCCGAGATAGGAAACGATTGTGCCGGTTAGCCTTCCTCGGAAACCTGGGCAAGCTCACCGTTGTGTACTTGTGGAAAGTGGAAAGGGTGGAGAACTTTTTTAGTACCAACACTTATGAAATGTCAGAATTCTACGGAACATGGAGGTTAGAGAACAGGAGAACGATCGTTACGTACTAAAGCATAGCCCGCCTGTCTTTGAAAATTTGTAGAATTTATAGCGGCGCTGTCGTTGGTGAGTAGTGACTACGGCGATCGTTCTCCTGTTATCTATCCCACATGCTACGGAACATGGAGGTTAGAGAACAGGAAACCAATCGCTGTAGACAATAGTGTCCCAGTAATATGGACTAATAAGTGAAGCGCTGCGATCGCTAAGTTGTCTGATTAAAAGCGGGCTGTTGTGCGCTAGTTTGAAATGATTATAATCTCATTAAAAAAAAAGAAAATAACGAAATTATTATTATTATTATTATTTATTAATAAATAAATTATAAAATGTCTTTATAATTTTAATTATTTTAAATACAATAAATTACTACAAATATTAATTATTACTTATTATTGATTTACTATTATTTATAATATTTCACCATTTTTCAATGTTTCTTTTTTCAATAATTAAAAAATTACTTTGCAGATACTACTTACCGACGGCAGCGCGGCTATAAATTCTACAAATTTTCAGGGACAAGCGGGCTATGCTTTAGAACGTAGCGATCGTTCTCCTGTTCTGTATAACCTTAGAGCATACATTACAATTTGTAATGTATGCTCTAAGTGTATAACCTTCATGTTCGGAATGAAAAATCAGAGTTTAATGATTTGTAACTTTGTATACTCTGTGATTTGTGTACATTTGCCAACATAGCAGGTACTTGATGGAATTGTCAATCATTTTTGACATTAGTCCTTTTCTTCAACTTAATTGTGTTATCGAAAATAGTTTTAGAAATTAATATACGTTGTTATGGTCTTTAAAACGTGTAGTTCATCATGGCTTTGAAGAAGGTTAAAGGAAATTTTGAAAGGATGTTTGACAAAAATTTAACTGATTTAGTTCGTGGAATCAGAAATAACAAAGATAATGAGGTATTTTTTAATAAGTGATCCATAATTTGATTAATAAATGAAATTAAGTATTGAAAGCCAATACTTAAGCAAAGAATAATGTTTTTAATATTTTAGGCGAAGTATATAGCCCAATGTATGGAAGAAATTAAAGTAGAACTCCGCCAAGATAATATCGGTGTAAAAGCTAATGCTGTCGCTAAACTAACATACGTAAGTAAATAATTTATAGTTAATTCATTATGTACAATGAATAAATATTAATGTAAAGAAGTTTGCTTGCCGCGACTGTCAATTAAAATAGATCGCGCGCTGAAGTTTCCACCAAATGTTACTCCAAACTTGATGAGATTTTATTCACTTTATATTATACAAACTGTAGCCCTCGCTATAGGATATGGATGACTATGTAATAAACAGTTATTTATTGACAATATAAAGGCTTACATTATGATAATTTGTTCAGGTTGTATTTTTACAGTTTATGGACTTACCTACTTTGATTTTATATGTGGTAGAACCACACTGCAGCTATATTATGGCTGTAGCATTAATGGGTTGGTTGGCCGGAGTAGGACCACACTCTCACAGAATACCAGCATAAAATAGCAGTTTAATAGTGCTATGTTTCGTATGGTGAATGTAGATATCTAGAGACCCTTTTTTAATGGAAACGAGGCATTCCATCTTAGTCCTCAGTAGGGCAACACATCTGCGTTTTGATTCTTAATCGAGAATAAATGTAGATGTCTGTGGGCCACAGCATCCACTTACCATCAGGTGGACTGTGTGCTCATTTGTCACCCTTATTCTATTAAAAAAACATAGATTTGATTTGATTAAATTGTTAAATACATTTCAAATAAGAATAGATAATGTTTGTGAGTAGTGACAAAATTGTTATTTAAGTAATATTTTTTATTAAATTAATACACAAAGTTTGTACCTAACATTTGTTTACTATATATGAAATATGTTATTTATAAATAACTTAAATGTCAATTTAGTAGAAGTATGTTGATTCTTATTAATTTTTAAATTAAAAAAATTGAGGGTTAATGTTGTAAATGCAACCAACAGGTTATGATTTTGTGTAAAAATGTAAACTTATATAAATATTTTGACCATATTATCTTTGTAGTCTGATAAAACTTTTGTTAAAATATCTTGTAAACAGATTGAAGTTATATGTCAAATGGAATTGCTGGTATTATTCTAATAAATAAAAATTAATGTTTATTAGCTTGCCCGGCAGATGTTGTTTTGCCCTTTTCGACGACCCTTTGGCATGTCCTATTAAAATGCCTTAAATTCGTAAAGAAAAGTGGGTCACTCATGGGCAAAAAAATTATCCTATCTTTCAAGTTGGACCAAACTGTACACGGTGTGCAAATTTGATTAAAGTCGGTTAAGTAGTTTAGGAGTCCATTGCGGACAAGCAGGATGACATGTAATTTATATATATTAAGATTCGTTTGTATTTTATGCAGTGCCCTAATGTTCATTAGATTGCAGTGAAACTTTGTCAAGTTATTGCTTACACTTGCGCAAAGGTTATAGGTATAGTATACTTAACTTGCATTTAGTGTCGCAAGTATCCTACCCACAAATTTATTTAAAAGTTAGATACCTATCATTCAACTTCAATAAATGTATTATAGTTTCCTAAATTTAAAACTCTTCCAAACTTAAAACAATATTTCCACATTTATTTCTTCTGCAGCTTTAACACACCAGGTTCCAGCTAGTAATGGATAAAATTTAATGATCCTCACGCAAGTGTTATATAACAAACCTCAATATAAATTTTGTGACTGTTAAATATTTATTCAATTTTTTTAAATTGTAAGTTTTACTGAATAATATTGACCCACAGCAATATTAAATTTTGATTCTTTATGAACATTAAATAACCTCATATAAAGGTTTAAAAGAGCTTTTTAATGAAATTAGTCAAGAGAGCATTTGTATTTGTCAATTTGGTCTCTATTTTATGAATTAATATTTGAAGTACCTTATTCACTTACTCTTTATATTTATCATTTTTCTTATTAATTGTTTAAACACAAAAGGTGACAAATAAGCACACAGTCTACCTGTTGGTAAGTGGATGCTGTGGCCCATAGACAACTTCATTTATCCTCAACTAATAATCAAAATGCATTGTCAGCCTTGAGGAATAAGATGGAATGCCTTGTATTTAAGCTATATAAGTATTTTTATTTCACTAAGAAACTAAATTGTATGTTTTGTATGTATTGTTATTCAAAATGAAAACATATTTTTATTTATTCAGCTTCAGATGTTGGGATATGATATCTCATGGGCAATATTTAATATAATTGAGGTAATGAGCTCAAATAAATTTACTTACAAACGAATTGGGTACTTAGCAGCTAGTCAGTCATTTCATGCAGATTCTGAATTACTAATGCTTACAACTAATATGATCAGAAAGGATCTAAATGCTCAAAACCAGTATGAAGCAGGCCTTGCACTCAGTGGTTTAAGTTGTTTTATTTCACATGACTTGGCAAGAGATTTAGCTAATGATATTATGACATTGGTAAGTAAATTTTGTGTTGTTATTTTTTTTATAATTTGAAAATTTATTATTTTTGTTTGGTTCAGTATATTTTTGTTTTTCTAACATAATAAATACATGTATGATATATTAATTTTTAATGCAAACATTGTTTGTCTTTCAAATATTGTAGCAAATATGTAGAGCCATTTATTTTAAACATATTTGTGTCATACTATTGTGTCAATAAATGCCTATTATTTGTTAATGGAAAAGCTAGATAAGAAAAGAAATAAATGGTTTATTATCATTAATGAAATAGAAATTAGTAATATATTTTGTTCTTCAAGGAATATGAACACTAAAGAAAGTCTTATTTTGTGCTTGATTATAATACAGCATACTATATTTAAAACTTTCTATATTTTAATGTCCTCCAGCGGCCAGTCCCAATGGAGAATAGCCGTAATAATATCAATTAACAAGACAGGAGAATAGTGAGTGAGTGTGTGTGTGCAAGCATAGGTGCACTCTTTACTCCCTCACTGTTATAATCCAATAGGATGGCAATCTGACACAATCGGAGAAAGAGAGATCAGGCGCAGGAGCAATGCCTATATGTGTTTTTGAAGCCCAAGGGTGAAACCTGAATTCATAGCTCTTGGTTGATACTGAGAATTTCATGACAGAAAAACAATAAATTATATAATTCTGGCCCCGATTTGGTTTCAAATCCATGACCACAGGATTAGCAGTCTTGTGGCCACTATACCAAGCAATGTCAGCATACAATTTCAGGTTAAATTCTGGTTTTTTTTTAAATTCTAGTACAATTTAAGTCAGAAGACACATATATATGAACTGTGAATTAAATACAAAAAGAGATCTGATAGAAGTTGACCGTTTTGGCGGGAGACCAAATTGCTACTGTCGGTTGGTCTAGCACGGAGCTTTGCGCCATTATGTTTGTTGTAATTTTCGTAACACTTTCTTGTAGCACTTAGAGGCCGAGTTGATAGCTCACAATTTAAAGCGTAAGCAATCCGTTTTTGATGGTAAGATGATAAAAACTTGACATACTGCTTCTTAGTTCTACAATGCATTTTTACCACCCATCCATAAACTGAAAGACATAAAACTTAAAGATGTTGTACCAGGAATTCTCGGTTTATTCGCAGCAACAAAAGAATTAGGAATTCCTTGTACTTTTGGTACCGAGATTGACAAGTAGACAAAATGCTAATTAAACTTAATTTATTGATGTCTTGTGAAGTTTTCAGTTTCTTCTTTTTTATATAATGCCTGCCTTTATTATTTTTATTCAAATAATTAAATAACGTACAATATTTTGTGCTTATTAGTTAGTTTTATATTATATGTGTATATATGATGTACAGGGATAGCAAAATTCATATTTAATTATATCATTTTCAACATCATCTACATTGTAACAGCCAGTGATTCACTGTTTCACACACGCACACGTAAACTCACGGTTCACTACATGTCCATTCTCGCCCGCGGCTCTCGTGATACTGACGCGGAAGCAGTGGACATTTATACTTGTGTCTTAACAGGCAATATTTGTGATACTACCTTCATTCAGATGTATGAACCTTATTTTATTACATACTTATTAGCATTTTGTAATCACATACACTACAATCATCATTACAGCCCTTCACAAGTCCACTGCTGAACATAGGCTTCTCCCAAGGGATTTCCACAGAGCATGGTCTTGAGCCACTGCATCCATTGACTTCCTGCATGTCTTACCAGGTCTTCACTCCATCTAGTGGGGGGTCGCCCTCGATTGCTGCAACTCGAGAACCCTTTTTCCCCATCAATTGTCGGTTCTTTGAGCTATATGACCGGCCCATTGCTACTTCAGCTTACTAATCCTATGGGCTATGTCGGTCATTCTGGTTCTACTGCGGATATCCTCATTTCTAAGTTTATCATGCAGAGATACCCCTAGCATAGCCCTCTCCATAGCTTGCTGAGTGACCTTAAGCCTCCTCATACGGCCAGCAGTGAAGGACCACGTCTCAGTTCCATAAGTCATCGCTGCAACACACACTGGTTGTACAGTATCGTTTTCAGGTTTTGAGGTATAGCTGACGAGAAGATGTGTCGTAATTTCTCGAACGCTGCCCAGCCGAGTTGAATCCGTCGATTGACCTCTCGGCCGAAGTTGGTCTTACCTAGTCGGACTATTTGTCCCAGGTAAACACACTCGTCAACAAATTCGGAATTAGTGCTCCCAACAATTACCGGCATATGTGTGACATAGACGTTACACATGATCTTTGTTTTATCCATGTATAGTGCTTAGTGTTTAGGTCCTCCAGCGATTCTGCCATAAGGACTATTTCTTCGGTAAATCGAAGGCGAGTGATGAAATCGCCATTGATGGTTAATACCGTATCCTTTCCAGTCCAGTAGCTTGAAAGGTCTTCCAGTACAACGGTGAAGAGTTTCAGTAATATAGTAATATAACGTCACCCTGTCTTACACCTCTCTGCAGTTGGATAGGTTTCGTATTCTGGATAGCCATCGTAATCCTAATGTACGAATACTTCAGCTCTTCGATATACCGAAAGTCAACTTGGTATCGCTGAAGGGACTGTAGCACCGCCCAAATTTCGACGGAATCAAAGGCTTTCTCGTAGTCCATATACGCCAGGCAGAATGGCAGATTGTACTCTTCGGTCTTCTGTCGAATTTCCCGAAGGGTATGTATATGGTCTATGGTACTAAAGACTTTTTGAAAACCGGCTTGTTCGGGGGGGCTGGAAGTCGTCGAGTCTGCGTGCGAGACGATTCGTATTTGACTCTCGAAAACAGCACGTAGACGCAGCTCAGAAGGGAAATCGGTCTATAGTTCTTGAAGATAGCGTTGTCACCATTCTTGAAGAACAAGACCACGGCACTTCTGCTCCACGCCTCCGGAATAGTGCTACCGTGGAGGACGGAATTAAAGAGCTTCTGAAGTACTTCAAGTACCGGTTTTCTACCCGCTTTCAGAAGGTCCACTGTGATTCCATCCTCGCCCGGGGAGTTGCTCTTTTTAAGCTGCTGGAGAGCTATTCTAATCTCGCTACGACTGACGTGCGAGATATCATCGGAATAGTGTCGGATAAGACTTGCTCTTTGATTGTTACTCACACTTGCATGTGGTTCTAACGATGAAATGTACAGCTGCCCCGAAAAAGTTGGTCCATGGCTCTTTCTGAGAGGCAGATCTCTGATAAAGACTTTGGAGTCCTGGTACCGCTCAATCCTTTCTTCAATACGAGCTGTACAGAAGTTGCGTAATTCCCGCCGCATGTTTTTGGAGATATGTCTGTTCAGTTGCCTGTATGCTGTCAAATCTGCTGAAGACTGCAGTTTCATTTCCCGTCTAACAGCCATGAGATTAAGAGTGTGATCGGAGAGTTTTTGTGTTCTTCTGCGACGGGTTTTGCAGAACTAAGCTGACCGCATGGATAGTTTCCACGAGCTAGTCATTTATATTTTCCACTGTATTGCAGTCTTCTAGGTACTGAAAACGGTTTTGTAATTCGAGCTAAGTTTTCGGGACCCTGGATTAGAGCACGAGGGGCACGAAGCGATGACTTCATTAGACGAGACCTCTTCAACTTAAGTTTAGGTTTAGTGTACCTCTTACCATGCGGTGATCGTTGCCAGTTTTCACTCTCGCGATCTTCGATATTTGATGGCGTCTGATCGTCATAATAAAGTCAATCTCATTTTTTGTCGAACCGTCGGGGCTCGACCAGGTCCCTTTGCCGTGGGAACGGTTCTGGAAGTAAGAGTTCCTCTTTCTTCATGAAGTCGGCAAGCTGCTGGCCCCTTGGGTTCCGTTGCCCTATTCCAAATTTCCCTACCTTCAGCTCACCGCTTTCTCTTGTGCCTAGTTTTACGTTAAAGTCTCCCATCAACATCGTATAGTGGGTTCTGGAGGAATGCATGGCTGTAGATATATCCTCATAAATTTCCTTTACCTACTCATCGGGATGTGTCGATGACGTTCAACGAATTACCCCTAGTCGACACACTCCCAATCTTTACAATGTTGTTCACGAGAGACTTGTGGACGATAAATCCGACACCTTGGAACAGATGGTCGCCCTCCCCGTGATAGAACAAGTAGCCGGATTCGTGGATTACCGTGTCCTCTCCCTATCTTCGGACATCGGATAATCCTATAATATGCCAGCGCTACTTGTCTACCTCTTCTTCCAGCTCTAGGATCTACTCCTCAGTCCTCAGGTTGCGTGCGTTATATGTTGCCACGTCCGAGTCGTCTTAGGTGGCAACCGGAGATTTTTAGCACCCCCTGCCCCGCCGTTACCATGGTCCTTACCGTAGCCAGGTATAGCGCGGATGCCGGGCACTGGGGGCCGTTTGTTTGTGTCGTTACACAGGGGGGATGTTTTCCATAGTTGCCACGCTTGGCGAGCGGGTTGGTAACCACGGTTTTTATTGTATAATTGCTGTTATCAGGAAGATGCTGTTGCCCATCTCCTGCCTGTCTCCCTCTATCGCCCCTTTCGACACCTACGGAAAGATATGGGGTAGGGTATATTTTCAACAGCCACTACACGGCTGCAATTATGTATTATGAATCAAATGTTTTTTTTTTTAATAGAGACTACTGAGAACAGATTGTGAATTGATTATTAAATTAAATTACTCATTGATTAAAGGTACCATTTTACTGTTTTTTAAGCTGATTTCACAGAAAAATGTATGGGACTCCACCATTGATGAAAGAACTTATTTATCACAATATCTACAGTCAGCAGATTGATGAATTATTACAATTATAATTATTGCTCGTTACTTAAAATCTCTAGCAGTGCATCGAGAAACATTGCATTTATTATATAACTAATAAATGCTATACACATACACATACGAATACGAATATTCGGTAAAGCTGCCGAATATGAAATCGAAATATAAGAGCGAAATAATAGAGTGCCTGCATACTAACTCGTTCGCTATAATCTTGCCCTGCGCATATGTCTAGTCTGCATTAAGACTAGACACCGTGACCGAAATTTGGTCTTAAGGACATTTTTATACATGTTTTAACTGTAATATTCTTAAACGAGATCTAATATTCTAGATGAGCTCAACAAAACCATACTTGAGAATGAAAGCTGTTCTGATGATGTACAAGGTATTTCTAAGGTACCCAGAAGCCCTTAGGCCAGCATTTCCTAAATTGAAGGAAAAGTTAGAAGATCCTGATCCAGGTGAACATTAATGAAATTTTTAATATTATTTTAATTATAATCCTTAATCCTTAGTAGCTAGTACTCCCTTGTTTTCCACTTTTCGGTGACATTTTATAAATGTGTACTCAAAAAATGATGCCCATATAAAATTGTTTTATGATTATTGAGTTACTGTAGTAAGTTTGCAAGTTTTTTGTAGTGCCACTAGTGTTTGAGGATATCGGCGTATGTTATTGGCGGTAATCATAATAGATCCAGACATGAAGATTATATGTATATTATAAATGCTATTTTAAAATTAATTGTTCTGTATACAATTATTTTTAAATATTTTCCCATTAATAGAAAATTTCCAATTGACCAAATAATAGAACGATACACCGTTCTTAGCGGGTTTTCGCTATTGTATTGGTACAGTGCATGTTGACGGTACGTGCTCGATGAGCCGCCATTCGCCATTTCTAATCCCATTTTTTATCCGTACGGACTATACTATCATTTAATGGGAGCAATATATTTTTTTAATTTCTTATAATTGCCGCTACGAAACCACAGGACGAGAAGACGATGGATTTAGTATAAGGGTATCCATCGCCAAATTAGGGCGCAAATTAAATTCCTAAGTTAGTTTTTTATTTAGTAACTGAATCGTACAAACATATCACTGTTCAGTTAAGAATTAAAATGCAGAATTTGTGACGCTTGAGAACTAAGACGGAATACACTGTTACCAATAAGGAATATCTTCATTTGTCACTCACCATATGAAATACAAAAACAGATCACCGGCTACCATCATAAAATAGAAGCAGCATTATGCTGTATTATGATACAAATGCAGCCTTATGCTGTGTTATGATGCAAATGCAGCCTTATGCTGTATTATGATGCAAATTCATGATGCGAATTAATATGCAAATAATGCTTAGAATTTACTTGATTTCACTACCTGTATTGTTCTTGGTAATCTCATATAAAATTAACGTTTTTTTTTCAGGTGTACAATCAGCTGCAGTAAATGTGGTCTGTGAATTAGCAAGAAAGAATCCTAAGAATTACTTATCATTAGCGCCTGTGTTCTTTAAATTAATGACAACATCTACAAATAACTGGATGCTAATCAAGATTATCAAACTGGTATTTATTTATTTTTAATTTGAAAAGATAATACTATAAAAGCTTTAAGTTTCTACCCTTAATAAATGACTGTTCATGCAATATTCAAATGTGGTACATTTATATAACTTTTGGAGAAAATCTCCACACTACGGCAGGTGTCCATTATCCTATTTGAATATCTGCTATCTACTAAAGTGATGATTTTTTCAGTTTGGTTTAATGACACAGTATGAACCTGATATTGGAAGAAAAATTACTCAAAGCCTCATTGACCTAATTTGCAGGTACCACTTGTAAAACTATCAAAACAAGTTTACAAGCTGCTAGAAATGTTCACCAATCTTCACCATCTTATATTCCAAAACAAATCATACGAATATTATTACGATTCACAATCACACTCAGTTTTAACTAGAGAACAGAGCAGGCTGTGTGCGCAGCACAAGTACATGTGTTTTTCGGCACAAGTTGTAATACTGTAATTTATCAAACTATATAAGGAGGCGTAAAATCTTCAATACGGTTTCATATAATATTACAATTATGTTATCTGTATAGTGTTAAACAGTCGCTACCCGCGGGATACTAAAGCGTGGGAGCAGGACGCCGAATGTGGCACGTAGTGGTCTTACAGAAGCCATAATAATGTTTCATGCTCGTATTGATGTATCATACGATGAAGAAAGAAATAGTGCAAAAGAACAAAATTAAAATTATATTTGTTACTTATCTTATAACAGATGTACTAAAATATTTAAACCTAATAATAGTAATTAATATCGCTTTATTTCGTAGTCGCTGTCGCTATCTCCATCTACATAAAAGTTTTATTATTATTATTATTCAATTTTCTCTTATTACTTTTTACTTTTATATAATCTCCACTTTCAATTGGTTTTTAAAAAAGCGCTATTTGCCTGTCTAATATGGTTCTGTATTTCGCTCTTTCTGGGTGCGGATGTAGGGTCACAATTTATTTACTGTGAACAGATAACCCATTATGATAACTGAAGCAATCAATTAAACTACTGCTTTATTTTAGATCTAGACAGAGACAGACATTTCTTACCAACAGATTATCTGTACATAGCAAATAAGATAAAATGCCATTCAAAATATTACTCAATTATTTACTATTTTCTAATTAATACATTACAGCCCACCATAAGGCCTATTAAAAATATTACCTCAAATGGCTTAGCAAGATCTTCCGTTATGCCGAAAATATTGCAGCATTAATTTTGAAATAAATATATGGTAAAGTTGAGGATTGATGTTAAGTACTATGTTAGACGAAAACACGATTCCGTAACATTTTCTCGATAGAAAAATAAAATATAAAGTTACCTCTAAACTGAACAATAAACCGCTGTTATTCATAAAATACTTTAAATAAGATCATGAAACTTTGCATACTAACTGAACTAACTATAAAGCAGGGCATATGTTTTTTAATTACCTTTAGTTTCACTGTAAAAAGAAATTACCTAAACTATCGACGTCTTGAAGCTTGTTTCCTTCCGCCCGGTTAGTCTCGCTTCGGCTTTTAAACGGGGAAGCTGTGTCACTTACGATCAGAATACACATTACGCAACAGGACGACGTAAAATTAAAATGGGAAATAACCGTAATAAAAAAGAAGCGACTGGGTTTGTGTAAAGAAATAGACAAAAATATAATAAACCTAATAAAACTTTACAGTATTAGTGATTACAAACATGTCGATACATAGCATACGTTGCGCGGGGAAGTGGGGGCGAAATTAGAATTTGAGCTGAGTTACTATATCCCCTTAATACGGGTTTTCCCCGTAGATCAGCCTATATTGCCACGCCTGGAAAGCGGCGGTATTTTATTGAGTTGTTATCTGAAAGCTGCAGCTGATGCTGAATGGCAACACCCGATGATATGGATTAGATAAAGGTTTCTCATAAACATCCACGACACCATCTATCGGATTACATACCAATAACATAAGAGGAAATTGCCTCTCTGAGAACCATTGATGTTATATTACGAAATATGATTTATTGATTATATACAATATGTAACGTAATTAACGCACATCCTCAGACACCCTAATTAGTATATTATGTTATAATCATAATACATACACTGAATTTTTAGTAAAAAAATTTTATGCACTGATTATTTATCAAATTAGTTATACTAATTCCGGAAGAATGTTGTGGTCACAGTACAAATCCACGAACGCAAAGACTTTAACGTGCTTGAAATAAAGTTCATTCTTCTTTATTTTTATTGAATGACAGAATTAGTAATAATACAAATAAAACTGCACTCTTAAAAGTCTTATTGCCTTAAGTTACTGTCCATTTCAGTTTGTTTTGACTGTACAGATTTAGTGTGAATGTAATTTACGTAGTTTTAATTATATTTGGGATAAAAAATTACCTATATTAAAAATGATAGGAATCGATTCAGTAAACGATTCTGATTAAACTACTTTCTCAAAGTGCGTTAATTATGCTACGTGTTGTATATTGCCTTAAACTATGGTTTAATAATAGTCTTTTACGCTAAAGATTTCCCTTAGCCGCGGCGCTACTGTTTCGTGAAAAATGACATTTTGCTGTAAAATTCCATACTGAATTTTAGTTAGCAATTTTTAATGAAACTTTTAAATAGCCTAGTATAAATCTGAGTATAATTACAATCTACTTTTTGTAATATGACGGATGTTATTTATCTATAAGCGATGTTGCGCATACGCGTAACCCTTACCTATGTTTTATTACCTCCAGGGCAGCGATTGCTTAACACTATTAAAGAAGTGCAGTAACTCACGCGAAAGTGCTGCGCGCGTAAGCATTCTGCACCGCACTTTATATTTGCAAGATAAGTATTTCTGGTGGTACTGAAATTTATAAATTTACACTATATTTGAAAATTTGAACCGTTATTAACTGTAAATTATATTAGACGATGGTACATCCATCGTCTACCACAAAATGTGTTGTTTAGTAATACGTGAATTTATTTTGTTGATACACAACGATAGTATTTACGTATATAACGTGAAAATAAGATAAAGCTCCGTTCGCATGATTAACATAAAATTAAAATGTTTAATTTGAAGTAGCGTTAGCGACCGCTATCTTCGTGCTTGTATATATAATGATGTTATATAGAATGTATTATTAGTAATTTAAGTTCTCCCGTGGAAACATTAGAAGAATCAGGAGTAAATTGCCCACCATACGTTTATGATACCAAAAAAATTGCTGTATATTGATTCTTATATTTAAAATTAAATTTAAACTAATTAACGGAAAGATTGTTGTATAAAATAAATCTTAAACAATTTCAATATCGTGTTTGCAAAAACAGTTCATATTTTCAGCACAAGGGTCAGCGCCAAAACTATATTATTGGGTGCCCAAGTCCTTAAGGTTGTAATAGTTTGTTGACATTTTTAAACACTTTTTTATTAAGAGTTTGGCGATCACGCTCATCACATTGATTGACCATCAAGAAAAGTTAATCCTATAAAATTATTCTTAATACATCATCATTTGTAAAATATTAATAAAACTACTTCTGCTATAGAAGACGTGAGTAAAGGTTATTAAGATTTATTATTTTATAAAATCGTATTATTAATTTACTATAATTTGGTTATAGTTTTGATAATTGGAAAGGTCCCTTTACTATATATTTTAAAACTATGTATTTTAAATTTAAATGTAGACGTTAAAATACCTCGTATTAAATCGTCAAAAACGATCTTATGCATCAAGTGCGGACTTAAAACGCGTCCAAAGCTCTAAGGTTCGCATCGTACGAATACGACGGATTGTGTCACAGATTTTAGAATTATTTATATAGTTATACAACATGTAACAAAAACCCTGTGGTTCCTGTTAAGTCGTTGTCAGAGTCAGTATTCAAACGTTTAAAACATATTTTTAAACTAAAATAAAATTATATTTGCTGATCGTATGTGATTTTAATACCTCTAGCTGACACGCGCATCGGTAAAACGGGATCTTTGACAATCCTCTTGCTCCCCGGGCAATGCAGAGGTAATAAAAAACTTACAAGTTGCATATTAAAATTTATTTAAATAAGTTTTAATTTTTTAATGGTCGAGTTATCTGGAAAAAAGTTATTTCTATGCGTTTGAATATTGGTTCTAATAATGCACTTAAAGGGAACCACAGAATTTTTGTTATATGTTGTGAGTCGTATACTGATCACAGCAGACGGATCACACCCGGCGTACGTAACGTAACGTAGCGCCTTCGATTGAAGAGAAGTAAATTTGGCTTGCAACGTACGAATCTACTATGAATATGTCATCTAACTACATGTCATGTTTCCTTTTTTCTTTCCTTTCTTCTATAAATAAATAAGCAATCACGACATGTTCATCATCACTTTCTACATCGCACACTATCGCAAATTAACCCATTTCTTCGAATATATACGATGAGAGAATGTGGACGCGTGCCTTTAAGGAGCGAAATTTCATTAACTTTTTTGGAATAAGTACTTTTGTTTTAAAGTATTGTGAATATTTACGAATTGCTTGTAATGGACGCTTTGGAATAATTGATTACTTTAGAAAACAAGGTACAAACATCTAATTAAATTAAGAACAAAGACTTTGTTTTATCATCAGAAATATTTACTACCTTGCAAATATAATAATCCTCGATTTTATATCGATTAAAAAGAACAAACACATAATTGGCATGTCTCACTTTTTTATATATTTTGCTGCTGAGTGAAAAATAATTAACAAAATATAAACGTACAAACACAAAAAACTCATAACACGACTTCAAGAAGAGATCTCAATAGAAATACATTTTTGCATTAACACATTCTACATAAACGATCTTATACGGCATCAGATGAACGGCACTTCGCCCGACGGCACAACGATATTTGCAGTTTCTTATTATACTGTAAATAACACGTAAGGAGGCTTCTATGAAATGAACCTCAGTGGTAGTTTTAATATTACATGTATTTACGTAATCGTCAAGTTATCAAATAAAACAATGGATCATTTAAAAATTTTCATGATCGAAGATATGATAATGTGTCAACATTTCACAGTGATTTTTTATCATTCTTTTGCGTACAGGGTTAAAGGATTTTTTTATAAAATTAAGGCTGAAAAATGAGCATATAGTCCGGGTAAGCGAATGCTGTTGTCTATAAGCGATTGCTGATCATAAGACCCCTGAATCCTGGGTCGTGTCAAAATCTGTTATTGGGTTTTCTGTCATGAAATTCTCAGTAGAAATCCGGAGTCAGGAAGTAGACGGTGTTTCATTCCGTACCTCGGAATGCACGTAAAGTCGTTGATCCAGCGCCGATCTCTTTCTGGTCGTGTCGAATTACCCTCCCATCGGACTACGAGAGTGAGGGAATAGAGAGTGCACCTGTGCTATGCGCAAGCACAGGTGCACTATACTGTTCTGCGCAGATGGCTAGTCGCCGTGACCGAAATTTGATCTGGAGAACATTATTTTTTTATAGGATAGGGTGACAAACGAGCCCATAGTCCACCTGACGGTAAGTGGTTACTGCGGTCCATACACATCTACATCTATCCTCGATTACAAATCAAAATGCAGATGCGTTGTCACCCGTGAGGACTAAGACGGAATGCCTCGTTATTCTCGATTAAAAATCAAAATTTGGATGTTTTGGCACCCTTGAGAATTAAAAAAATAACGCCAATTTACCGGTAAAAAGGGCCTCCGCTATTCTAAATTAACATCTAAATGTAATGGAACAAATCACTGGCTTAATGAGATGTTCACATTTATTGTCAAATGAAATGTGGAAATGCTTTTAATATTTTTATACAATACAAATTTTTACATAAATTTCTTTACCACTTGTTTGGAAAATACATCTATTCTGTGAAGAATCAGACAGAAACCACGTAGGATTTTATTAGATTTGATGTTTACAGTAATGCCTCATTTACATTCAAGCCCCTGCCATTGCTCCTCGCGCTGCCGGCAATACTTCGCTAAATACTGCCGTAGCAGGATCGCAGGAAGTGTATATTCACACTCTGCCCTACCACTCACATCACTTTCGGCTTTCGACTATGGCAGACGTCGAAATAATTATAGTTGTGCTGTGTCTTCTTGCAATACAAAATTATGTTAATAATTTAAAAAGATATCAAGTTCAAAAGAAGATATATAGATAGATAGAAAATTTATTTGCTTAAAAACATGATACATAAGATGATCAATGACGTGGAACTGACATGTTTTGCCATAATTAGCATGCAAAAATGATATGAAATACAGCTAATCACACAAACCGAATGTTACATTTTAAAATTATTGCATTGCTTAAAAGTTAGGTACAAACATTATTTTTGAATTCAAATATTATGTACAATTAAATACTTATACAGATCCACTCTATTTGAATTCTTATACAGTAAATTGTTCATATAATTTATGAACAATAATGTAATTGAATTATTACATTATTGTTACATAAATAATATTAAATATTATATGAGATTAGTTAAGCTATTATTATTTTGATAATTACACTACTATTAATTTATACTATTAATTCATAATTTTAATTACAATAAAATTATAATTTAAAAATCTCAGGCTATTATGCAAATATTACCATTTAACTTATTTTACAATTTAATAAATAAATAATCAATATAAGTTACTAATGGTTTTTAGAAATAAAATGTCAATTTTCATTAATTTCTTAAAATAAATTTTATATTAATATAATAAATTTGACGAATTTATAATTAATTATGTACATAGGTACTATGTTATCTCAAAAAGAAAATTCGTATTCGTAGAAGATGATGAATTGTGGTTTTTATCGTTGAAATCCCATATAGTTTTTTTCTGATTACAGCAGTTATAAAAACTTTATTGTATTTTCATTATTCCACTCGAAAGGCATTTTGGTACATCGTACTTATTTAATAACAAGACGGCACGCACGTCCGTTCATCCAGGCGCTTGGCGCGAAGTGAGCGATGGAGCTGAATGTGAACACTCACTGCCGCTCGCGCTGCCCGTCCTTTGACTTCCGTACGAAAAACCGACATTTGAGGGATCGTCGGGCAGTGTCAGCGCGAGTAGCCTGTTTACATACTGCCCTGCCCACTGCCCTGCTCACTTCCCTGCCCAACAGGGTTGAATGTAAATGGGACATAACATTGTACAATAATTAACATGAATTATTATGTAAAGAATTTAATAGCGATGACTCGCCTAATTCCCAGGAGCTATTTTTAATTATGTAATCCTTAATATTTTATAATGCTATTTAATAAATATATGTGCAGTAAAATTTTTAAACTCGTACACTCGTACTAAAGAGTTACTCTGCGGAGTCAAGTTAATAATAATAATTAAACTTACTTTACAATCCAAATACTTTTCTCATTAAAGCTAATTATGTTTATTGACAGCTTGGAAGTGCAAAACTCTTTAAATCTTTCCTTGAGAGACTTCAATTGAAATAATTAATTGCCCTCACGACCCTCTTTTACAAAACAAATATAGTTTCAACAAAGTCGCGTTTCCCTATAACAAAATATCCATTCTTTATCGTACTTTTATGATTTAAAAAAATATAAATTTTGAATGTCCATTGTTTACTCGTGGTGCACGACAAGTATCGCCATTGGCTTTACTACGTGATTTATTTTTTATTTTTTTTGCGCCCGAAGCATATATTGGCAATCCTCCGGAAAGCGGGGGAGGGAGGTGTGGAATGCTCATAGCATACCACGCAACCGGCTGCGTGGTTATGTGGAGACTTTTACCCACTAAACCCCACCTTTTAGGGACTGGCTTAACGGTCTAACTAGAGATCTCTAAGCCGTATACGGACGCGACCCTCCTTGGCAGAAAGGAGGACGCAACACACTACGTGATGTTGGTTGTAGTTATTTATAGCGTCGGCGGAGTGTCGTTCGTCTGTGCATCGTCTAATATGCTGTTTCACTCTAAAGCTAGTCTAGTGTCATTGTGTTTGTTCCAGTTTGGTGCCTTAACCCCATTAGAGCCTCGACTTGGCAAGAAACTGATAGAACCATTAACTAATTTAATACATAGGTGAGTCAGAATTTTATTGACACTTAATATAAAACTCCGAAATTTTATGTTTATTTGGTCTCTATGGGGTAAAGGGAATGTAGCGCCTAGGCTTAAAGAGTTGTTTTCAAAATGATAAGTTTGTGTTTAATTAAGCTATCTTTATAATTTAGGTTGCTTACACTGCTTTTTAAAATTTGTTTTTCTTCAAACATTATAGAATAAGTTTGTATGTATGTATAATTATGTAAGTAATTATAAACGTGTAAGTTTATTTTAAGACGGAAAGTTATTGTCTAGTTAACGAGTAAGCTACTTGCCATTCCCGCTCAGTGCTAGACTTAAACCTTATCAAAATCACGAACTGTCATAATCATAATACAATAGTGTCAAATTGAAATATATACTTACAACTTCTACACGAATTAACATTTCTCAGTAATAAATTTTAAGTTTATATCTCCATATCTGGTACGTTATAGATTAGTTACAATTCTAAAACACAAATGTAAACTATCATTATTATTATTTTGGAAATGAGCCTCTTTTTGAGGAAAGGGATTCCACACTTAAAGCCGTAGTAACACGAGCCCTGCTTCTTATTATCGAATTATTAGTTTCGTAGTAAAATGGTAAACAATAATGTTGTGACTGCGGAAAATATGTTATTTGAAATTGTGCATTGATATTTGACAACAAAAAAAGTAATTTTTACCACACCTAATCGACATAATACCATTTAAAATTTATTAACTTAAATTATAATAATGAACCGACAGTTTATATGGCTGTATAAAAGAGATTCGTGTTTGTGGTGAGTGCAAAGTTCGCTGTACAATAATCGACAGCTCAAAACTTCTGCATATGAAGAACTAATACCAAATAAATAAAAAGGCCAAAAAGTATTTTCCGAAATTGCAAATTCGGGTCTCTGTTTAAAATGATCCTAAGAAACGATTCCTTTTTTTTTTAATTCTTTTTAGCGCATATTTTAATTATGTGCCATTGCAAATTTTTAATTCACAATGTAAACATTTACGCAGGAGTGCACATCGCTTTCTATAAGTAAAAAAATAAACAATACATCGATCAAGGTGCAACGTGTCGGTTCAATGGACGGTCCGTACTACAATCGTTACGTGAATGGCGCCCAATAACTGTTCATTTGTTTTTCAGTCACTTGTTTTTCTTAGACAAAGCGTTGTTTACGACTGTGGCAAAATTGTTAATTGTTGTTTGCCATGCCAATGAGTTCTATCATGCCACTATTGCTGCAAAAATGGCTACTAATATCAACTTCGCCTACTAGGGCGGGTCAAAAAATGGAGAGGTTAGAGATATCACAAGGTAAATCAATAGGGAAGTTAATACTCACTAAGGAAAAAATTACGTTTCGTGCCGTGATTAAGTTCTTCACTAAGTAAGAAAAAATGCCACATACGATTATGAAAGAGATGCCATATGTTAACGAGGTCTCTTGCCTCTTGCTTGATATGTGAAATAGCCTTTTCATGTAAGGCAGAGACTCAATTGAAGACGATCAGCGCTTAGGTCGACCGATTGAAGCAACTTCCTCAGACATTGTCGAAAAAACTTAAAAACTTGTTCTTGAAGATCCTCGTCTGAAGAAAAAACATCGCAAAAATGACTGGAGTATCATCTAAGACCGTTTCAAACAATCTTCATTACCATGTTGGCATGTCTAAGGTCAATGCAAGATAGGTGCTAAAAATGCTCACACTGTTTCAGAAACGATAGCGGGTCGAGTGTTCGCGCGAGTTTTCTGTTCTATGTAGTCATAACATGGACGAAATTATGAACCGAATTGTGACAGGGGATGAAACTCGGATTCATCACTATTAACCGTGCAGTGGCATAAAAAGTCGCAACACCGTCTAAGAAGATCAAGGTGTAACAATCGGCTGGAAAGACTTCACTTTTTGGGATTCAGAGGAGATTTTATTGATCAATTATAAAAATAAAGGTGTCAATACCACGGAACAGTATTACACTACACTACTAGAATTAAAAGAGCTGTTAAAAAAATAAGGGGAAAGTGGTCTCAAGGTGTGCTCCTTTTGTACGACATCGCACCCTCCCTATAGTCCAGATTAGGCCCATTCGGATTATTATTTGTACCCAAATATGAAAAAAGAGCTTCTGGGAAAGAAGTTTACAGATGACAAAGAAGTGAAATCGGTAATTTCTATCTATGAAGGTATAAATAAGTTATTAGGATCTGAGAGATGTATTAGGGTTAATGGAGAATAAATATATCACAAAGGAATATTTGAGGAATTGTTCGGACTGATTCCAGCCGCACAATTTCACCATCGCACATCGCGACAAAACTCGCGATACCTTCCATACCATCTGGATGACTGGTGGTCCACCACTGTGCGATTTAAAAGAAGTTTTTTTTCCTCCCACAACTTCCTTGTGGCATCGACTACCACCAGAATTTTTTCCAGACCGATACGACTTAGCGACATTCAAGAAAGGAGTCTACTCCTTTTTAAAAGGCCGGCAACGCATCTACATTACATTCCTCTGGTGTTACAGTTGTTCATGGGCAGCGGTAATCACTTATCATCAGGTGAGCCGTATGCTCGTTAGCCCCCATTTCCTATAAAAAAGGAAATATAATTTCATGTGTTCACCCCTTTTCTTTTCATTCAGCGAACTATTTTTGACTTGCCCTCGTATACTACTCGAAACTCTCGGAGCGTTTTGCTATTCAGGAAATCCCAACTTGCAGTAGAAGCCGATTCTTGTCGAACCACGTCTTAGCTGTTGCCGTCAACATACGTGATAAAAAGACATTGATTAATTTGTGCTTAATTAAAAGTGTAAAGAAGTTTGAAAAATCGGTACCATGTAAATTTACTTATGGATAAGAGCAAACTCGTGTCGGAGCTTGCCTTAATTTGCTCAATCAATTGGCACATAAGTAGGAGGATACTGGATCGATTTGTTATTTTCCTGAATAAAGTTGTAACTGAATGATCCTAAATGTGATAATTGACGTTCGTCGCAATGACGCCGTACCTAGGGGTGACCCTGATAGCCACTCATATCTCAAACTCAAATTGGCCTTTGCTGTTTTTTTAAGATATGACACAATAATTACTGATCACAATAAAATGGAAATGATGACGAACACGCTCCCTATCAATCATCCAAGACTTATCAATCGTTCTTGTCCATTATTTCACGGTAACGTCCATCCGTCCACACAGCACATCGGAATTTCGTCTAGATACTCTTCGTAATTCACCGTACTCGCCTAACCTTACCTCTTCTGATTTCCATTTTTTCACAAATTCAATAATATTTAACGTGAAAAAAAATCAACTCTGATGGAATGGTAACATACCTATAAAGAATAATTCATTTCTTCCTTTACCCAGGATTTCTCCAGCAGAAGCATTTAGGTAATTCATAGGTAAGGGCTTAATACGTCTCATTGTTGAGTCTAGTCCGGACCGCGCTAGTGAGCGGTCTCGTCCGCCGGTCGTCGACTCCCGCCCGGGTGGAAGAAGTACAGCGCGTCGCTCCACAGTGGGTGCGCGCGCAGTGGGGCCAACTCGGCGTGCGTGGAGCCTTTAGGACGCCCCTGACCCCACCCGGGATGAAGATCACCCAACGCTGCGTTTCATCTACACGCTGGGAAGCGAACTCCGCGTGACCGGCGACCGGCTCCGCGTCGAGATGCTTATCTCCGCGGAACCTGAAGGTTGCTGACCCTTCGGCAGATTCCCTTCCCAGAGGCGCGAGACACGCCAACTTTTTGCCTAGGAATACCAGGCCTTCAACTAGAGCCAGGAAGGAGCACTGGAGGCCCGGAGCAGCTGCTGTTGGAGTGCCCTCCTGTCGGCAAGATTGGCCCTGCGTCGACTCCCCTCCTCAGGACTCCGCGGGGCTTCGAGACGGCCGACCCTCCGGTAGCATCGATGATTACCAACAATGTCGTACTTGTACGGCTCCCAAGACCGGCTCATTGATATGAGCTGTGAAGATTACCCGGGTAATGGGAAACTCCCCGAGGCCCGATACCTGCATGGGATAAACAAAAGTAGTCCCATAGCAGACGACAATCAACATACGTCTCATTAAAATGAATTCAGAGATGGCTCGATGGCTCGATGTTTGATCACAGGATTGCCGGCAATTTTTATTCGGTGTTTAGATATTTTCATGAATTCTTTAGGGCGTTACTGTGCGAGATTTTTTTTAAATTTAAAATAGAAACGATTACTTTATTTCGTACGTTTTTATTAAATATTTTAAAGGAAGAATATTTACAGCGTTTTTGCTTGTTTGTATATTATGTATAATTAATTCAGATTGAATATTATTCTTCTGGTATCGAAAACAAAAGGTTTTTATGTCGGTTTGGTTGTTTTTTCTGATTAAATTATATGTATAAACGTGTAAGTTGAAATGTCTCTTAGAAGTTGACATTTACTTAGGTTGAAATTTAGATTCGTTTGGCTGGAATTTGGGGGAGTAAGGTATTTTATTTGGTAGAGGTTTGGTCCCCGATTATAATAATACCACTCACATTAAAAGGTAATGCACCGTTCTTGAGAAAAATCAAAAAGAAAATCCCATAGAACTAACCTAAAATTGATAACTCAAAATGAATTTTGGGGGTGGGAGGTGGTGAGGAAGGAGGCGGGGGGAGTTGTAGAGTCGCCCACACTTCCACCTCCTACCGGACTTGCTTAGTTTTTTTTATAAATATTTAAAAATCTAATTTTGAGGTTATGTTTTTGTAATGTTTTTGACTATAAACCTGATTTATGGGGTGATAGAGTTGAGGGAGCACCACGTAACGCAGTCGGGGGAAGCCCGGTCGACGGAGCCCCGCTTTACGGGGCTCCTACTTCTAGGTGGTTCACGAAAAAATAACCACGAAGGGGATGGTGGGGTCTATTCACTCGCTTCGCTCGCTCATAAGACTCCGCCATCTCCATCTAACCTAACCTGTCCGAGTCGGGGTGCCACAAGTCCCAGCTCCCTTCGCTCGCTCTTGCACTCAACAAAACACCAAAATGTTAGCTTTTATAATTACTTTTAATTATAAACATTATATATAATATAATAATAAGCACACTACGACCCGCACAGGTGTCTGCGATGTGCTACGACGGGCGGGAGGTGCTCTTCTTCCATGCCTACGGCTTTACAAAAACATTAGGGGTAGGGCAGACAAGACTACGTGGATTCGGAGCGTGCTGATTTAATTTTAGTACAAATCAGATATCTATAAAGTTAGGTTCCCTTTGCTCCCGCCACAACCATCTAACCTATTACAACTGAGAGTATTATTGAATGTGTAAGTATTAAATTAATTAACTGCCCAGACAGTTTTAAACAATTTAGAAATAAAACACAGTATATTATAATCATTTCTTTTTTGTTAATAAACATAATTTATAATTTTTATTAATTCATCAAAAAGATCTCTTTTATTTTTTACAATTTCTCTTCTCCATAAATATTCATATATTAAGTCGGTAAAATTTTCTCTATTATTATAGTTATCTTTGCCGAAATATCTTTTGACGATACGCCATTGAGACTCAATTCTTTGAGTGTGTGTGCCGTCTGCTGCCACAAAAGGGTTTTCAGGGTCACTATGATTTACTTTTTTGTGTATGTACCCATAATTTTCTAATCCATCATAAGCCCGCCAAAAATCAGTATGGATGATGGTGCCCTCAGCCACATGTTTTTTAATCAAGGGCATCAAAACTTCAGAAGATCGCACATTTTGGGGGCAAACTTCTAATCTTAAATCTTCACTATCATTTTCAATCATTCCCAGCACCCAATGACCTTCAATGTGCCGACCTAAAACAAGATTAAGTATTAATTTCAAATTTTATTGATAAAAATTAGCCTATTTCATCTCCAGGTCGTTAACTATATGCATGCATTTAGCCATAACTCACCTTTATTATATTTCCTTTTTCCAAATTTACTCTCATCTATTTGGACAATTTTTCCTGGACCGCCAATTTTTCCCAGGAAACTTTGTTTCTCTATTTCATAGATGACTACAGCCTCCCGACAGCAGTTGAATCAATCATTAACAGTTGCTCTAGATAAACAATTTTCCCTTTCGAAATAATTCTTTTAAAGTCATGTCATAACTCCACTTATTTGCATATGCATACATTAAGTAAAATACTTGAGGCATTGTTAATTTAACATTATCGAACCAAGTGCCTTTGCCACGGCTAACTTTTGATTTGGATCTGCATGGGCCTCGGTTGCAGACAAATGAGCCCACTGTTCTATTGGTGGAGTATTCTACACACATACTCTTTTTATGGTAGCTACATATTTTCTTGCTGGGATCATGCCTTTTTCCTCAGCAAAAGCAATAGCTTGTTCCCGTGTGCCAAGTTTTCGATATACAGTAACTAAATTCCACATTTATTTCATCTTCCTCGACATATAAATGGCGTTTCACTGGCGGTTCGTCACTGTCAAAACTGCGACTCGTAGATGGTTGAGGTTCCTCCGAATCAGACATTTTCAATGTTACACGCGTAGCGTCCGGTGTAGAAAAGCAAGTAAGTCGTGTAAGCAAGCAATCGAAATCCAAATGCGCGCACAAGTCAATCGAGTATCCAGAAAATCGGTGTCCGGGGTAGAAAAGTAGATAATTCGTTGTGTAGGCAAGCAATAGGTATCCAAAAAAGAGAAAACAGTCGTCGATAAAAGCTACAATAATACACTGGAGAACACACATTCACGCAAGAAAAGCAAACAAGGGCGGAAATGGCGGGATGCATTAATTTTTTTAATTTTTTTTTTGTAACCGCTATCCATCTTTTACAGTAATATCGTATAATTTTATCTCAGAAAGGCTAGAACCCAGATCTGTAAAGTCAGTTTAATAATAAAAAATGTATCATTATTCAAACTTTACGCATTTTAGGTTATAATAGTTTTTATTTATTTTTCGATAACGGTGCATTACCTTTTAATGTGAGTGGTATAATTATAATCGGGGAACAAACCTCTACCAAATAAAACACCTTACTCTCCCAAATTCCTGCCAAACGATTCTAAATCCAACCCTTTACTTATTTTTTTGCTACGAGATTAAATAGTTCGGACATAGATGCTGCTCCACTTTACTGAACTTTTAGGTATTTAGGTTGCTTTATCCTACTATACCTAATATAGGCTACAGAAATTTTAAAGATAACTCAATTGAATTTTTAATTAAGTACCAGATAAGAAGATGGAGTTGATACGCTAGCATCAAACGAATGAATATAGTTTTATGGTAGCAGAAAGAATAGGAAGAATATACTTAAAAAAATCTTAAAAGTTGTTTTTCGCATCCAGGATTTCTGAAATTTGGACTCTTTTTAGAAGGCCATACATGACTAATATAAATTTGAAAACTGTCACTGATTTTTAGGCAATAAATGTGGTATGCGTTGATGTGTATTAGATTTATAATAGCAATGTACCTACATGTGAGAGTTTTGTTACAGTTCATAATTTTCTTTGTTATAATGCCTATTTTTTACACGTGTTGGCAGCACATCTGCTATGTCATTGCTGTATGAATGCATAAATACTGTGATCGCCGTACTAATAAGTATAAGTAGTGGAATGCCTGGCCATGCGGCTTCCGTGCAGCTCTGTGTACAAAAACTAAGGATATTAATAGAGGATAGTGATCAAAATTGTGAGTAATCTTATATCTTTAGTATGTTAATGCTTTTTATTAATATTTTTTATATGGTTTGCTTTGTCATACCAAAAAATGCACTAAATACAGTACCCGGCGATGAAGACATTTGGAAAGAGACAATCAGCTAATTTCGGCTTCGTAGAGCATTATCTCTGTCGCACACTACCTGTGTGACGTTTTGACGTTCGACCTAATAGATACCGGACTATTTGTATTTCGTGCGACAGAGATAACGCTCTACGAAGCCGAAATGAGCCGATTGTCTCTTACCAAAGGTCGATGTGCAATATTTATCGCCGGGTACTGTACTACAGTTAACGAAGCAAAATTTTAAGTATATCATTGATTTACCTAATTACAAACATTAATTATTTTAAAGATTAAATTTTCATTTTAGTGAAATATTTGGGATTGCTAGCGATGTCAAGAATACTCAAGTCGCACCCAAAGTCGGTGCAAGCGCATAAGGATCTTGTTTTGTCGTGTCTAGATGATAAGGATGAGTCAATTAGGCTGAGGGCTTTAGGTCTTTTATATGGAATGGTAAGTGGGCAAAGATGGACAAATATTAAAATTAAAAGAATATTTGGTAACAAAATAGTTAATAAAATAATCAAACAGAATAGTGTACTGTAATAAAATATTTTAAACCAATCAAGTGCATAACTGAAAATTTATTTTTAAGGTATCTAAGAAAAATTTAATGGAAATAGTAAAGAAACTAATGGTTCATATGGAGCGCGCAGAGGGAACACTGTATCGAGACGAACTGCTTATGCGCATTATAGAGATTTGTTCCCAGAATAATTATCAGCATGTCGTGGACTTCGAGTGGTATGTCACCGTATTAGTTGAGCTCACTGAGATGGAAACGAGTGCTAAACACGGTAAATGTAATGAAAATGCATTATAATCAAATTTTAAAACATTGATTTCAACTTTTCTACGTGTATAATAGTCGGCATGAATCTTGTGCCCTGAACATTCGTTTAAGCGACTTAACTCTGTAGATGAATTTTAACTGATTAAATCACTTACTGTCATCCGAACTAATCAAGGAACGAGGCTTGTGAGGGCCACTCCTTTGCTTCATTAAAACAAAAAAAAGGCATTAAATGAACCGTCTTCTGCGCAAGTGAAGTAGTGAAGAACAGTGCTCTAGATTCGCGCCGTCTGTTACATTTAAATATTTTTTTAAGTTTCTTCAACTGGCTATTTCATTTATAGTCTGTTCACTAAGATAGTGTCGATAAACCCGAAGGCGCACTAATTATTTTGCTTTTATTTTATTATTTATACTGTGTTAGTTAAATAAATGATTTTTCTATTCTCAGAATAAAATAGAATACTATTTTATTCTTATGATTATTGTAATAAAATATGAATATAAATGTAATATAATAACAAGTTTGGTAGCAAAGAATCTTACACTGCGGGGCTTCATTTTGAAATGCCAAATTCTACTGCGTGTGTACGCTGCAAGCGGCGACTTTAGATGGCGCAGCGGCCCCTTTGACAAGATGCGGCAAAGACAAAGGCGGCGCCACACAAAGGCGACCGTATCTAAGCGATCAGACTATATATGTCTTTGTGTAAGATATCTAATTTAATATGTGTTTGCACTCTTCTGTCTATTAATCCCATGTGACATGTGATATATCAGTCACTACAAGAGTAATAGCAAGATGGTCATAAAGAATATATAGTGACGTGGTAAATGGTAATATAATATTGGCTAAGCAATTTGTTATGTAAAGAAAATTAAAAGCCATGCTGATTATCAAACCGTTCCGAAATTGTACATTCGTAAATCTCAGTTTGCTTGAATTGATTAGACGTAGAATGGTCGAGAGTAAAATGGCTCTCCAGTACTTTAAAAACGGCAAGTGAGAATAGAATTACAGCGTAACTTCTTTCTAAAAGCATATAAAAAACCGATACGAATACTAATATGAAAGTTCTTTAGAAGCTGTGAAATTCCGTTCTCCATGTGGGCGTTACTCCAGAAAGTGTGGAATAATGGAAAAGAGACAACGCCCAATGAATAACTACAGACCGTTTATTTTTCTGAGCTGCATCTATATACGTGCTGTTTTTGAGTCATCGTTACAAATCGCCTCGCAAAAAGACTTGACAATTTCCAGCCTCCCGTTAAATCCGGTTATCGAAAAGACTTTAGTATCATAGACCACACACATACTCTTTAGAAAATTGTTTTGTCTGACGGTATATCGAGGTGCTGACGTGATTGTGCAGTGGTGCTAGGATAGCTTTTTTTTAAAGAATTATAATATATCCTCGATTAAGAATCAAACTGAAGATGCGTTATTATACCTACTAGTATTCTGTGAGAGCATGGTTCTTTCCCATTCGAGCCAAACCATTCGTGCTACAGCCATAATATTGCTGCAGCATGGCTCTACCACGTAATCTCCACGAAAAAAAATCTGTGAGATTTACTAGGAGTTTTCTTCCTCGGTAGATGATTCCACAAAGAAGTCTTTTATTTGTAGAATCATCTACCACCGGCGAATTTTTTGGACTGACACGACTTAGACCTTAAAGAAACAAGATTTCTCCTTTTAAAAGGCCAGCAAATCTCCTGAAATTTCCCTGGTGTTGCAGTTGTTTTTGGGCGATGGTCAATACTTACTATTGGTGAAATTTAATTTGATGTGGGCGAAACCGTGCGATGAAAAGCTAGTAAAATATAAAAATGTAGTAAATATATTCATGGGCTGGACAAGCACAGATAGAACAGGCTGGTGGGAGGGCGCATATCTATAGTCAGCCTAGGGCTGTCGGACATCTAAATCAGTTTCCATCACGAGGATTCTGTTCTTGTTCAAGTGACTGCTGCAGCCAATGGACATCCACCCAAACTAAAATCAAAAAAGCTACAAATGGTATCCACTGAGGAAGGGTTTTAAAAAATTCAAACCATTTGAAGGTCAATCTTTATACGAAACTTGATTTGATGGGGCGATATCATATTTGTTTGATGAAAATTTATTATTGTTTTAGGCCTTGGTTGGTAATAAAAGCCATCAAACGTTTAAGAAATCATAAGATTTTTTAAACGCGATAAAGTACGTAAATTGGGTTTTATTCAAAGCCTTAGTCTAACTTAAAATCTGTGATTATTATCGCTCCGAAAGTTGAGAAAATTTTCATGTAATAGGTTGAGCTCTCCGTATTATGAGACCTTATAATAAGCATAGGTAGTGACTGACTGGACTGGGACGCGGGTAGCACAATTGCCAGTTTTTATAAGCGTTTATCGTTTACGCTGCAAGTTGCAAGCTGTATTTGAGGTGTAGTCAGAGGTGTGGTTGCGGGCAGGTTGCACGCTGGCGGCGCAGCTGACGGAGGTGGGCGCGCGCGTTGCTGATGTGCGCGCGTTCGCAGCGCGCGAGTGTGGGGCATTATGCGCGTGGGCTGCTGCCGCGCTGCCCACGCCGCCCGGCCCCGCCTCGCGCGAGGTGCTCTACGCCGCCGCCTACGTGCTCGCCGAATACTGCCAGTAAGATAATACAATCAGCCGTTAAAAGTTAAACTTATATCCTATATACGAAGGGAAGTCAAAAATTCCGCGCGGGATGACAGGAAAGGATAATGAAATGAAACAAACTGTTTTTCCTTTTCAATGTATTCTCCCTTAACCCTAATACATTTATTAGATCTGTCAAATAACTTAATAATACCGTCTAAAACAAAAAGATTTATCTTGGACGTCAAAATAGGCCAAAATTGCCGACTTCATCATCGTCGCCAAGTTTTCCTACGCAGTTCTTTCTTCATTTTTGGAAACAACAGTTGCTTGGGGCCTTTTTTTATGCCACTGCATTGACCCTTGCTTTGACTCAGGTTCATAATGGCGAACCCAAGTTTCATCTCCAGTTACAATTCGAGCCATAACTTCCTCCCTTCCCTCTACAGAGCGGTCCAAAAACTCGCGAGAACTTTCGATGCGCTCTTGTTTTTTAATGCGCATAAAGCATTCTCGGAATCCATGTTGCACAGACTTCAGTCATGCAAAGACGTTGATGTAGGATGTTTAAAATGGTTGCTTCTTATACTCCAACTAATTCTGCAAGCTGTATTTTCTTTAGCTGGGCATCTTCCGATACAAGTTTATCAACTTTTTTTACAATTATTTCTGGCGTGGTAACCTCAATCAGCCGTATCAGGTCGGGGGTCGTCTTTAATGGAGTTCCTCCCTTATTTGAAAAGGGCTTGCCATTTTTAAATCATGGTTTTTTCAGGAGCGGGGTCCACATAAACAGCTGACATCTCTTGAAAAATGGTTTGAGGTGTCTTTCATTGTTTGGTAAGAAACTTAATGACGGCGTAATATTAAATTTTTGCCATAGTGGCTAGTTTTTTTCCGATTGACTTGTTTACTCGTTAATAACTCAAAAACTAATGACACGATTAGGCTGAAACTTGGTATATATATTAACAATGAGTCACTCAACTAACGTCTACCTGGATTAGTAAAATCACCCTCGCCAATTCCGCGAAATTTTTGACCTCTCGTCGTACAGTCCGTACGGATAATTTGTTTTGTGTATATTTATATAAACTAGAAACAGAAAATATTGCTGTCTGACAAATAAGTTCACTTTAGTTCCACCTAGCAAAATCTGGTTAACGGTAGATCTGGGGGCACGGCAGTGCCCCCGCCAAGTCAGCAAAATGCGGCACGGCCGTACCATCTTTTCTCGAAGCAATTCAGGCCATTTTCGATCCCTTATAACTTCGTGGTCAATAAAACTAGAGGCTTGAATTTCATTAACCAAGTAAGCATTGTATGAACATGGTATATTTCAAATTTCATTCAATTTGAACCAGTACTTTAAGAATTGTAATCAGTCAAAGTTTCTTAATTTTGTCACTCACTGACTGACCGATCATCAAAACTCTAAGGCACTTCTAGCAGACATAGAAGCTTCAAATTTAGAATACAATTAGTGTTTAGTGTATAAATTAAGGAAAAACTAAAACATTTGTTAATTTCTGTCCAGTTTTTTAGATACACTAACTGCATAAATAACTTTGTGATCCCATATAAATATATAGAATTACAAAGTTACATTTGCAGTGAATGAATCAGTGTATTTGTACTCGTATATGTATTACAGTTGTACATAGGTACGTTGTTGGTACTCAAGAAGTAGAAGGTACCGGAAAGGTAAAAAATTAGGACTATCTTATATACAAAAAGAAATGAGATACCATTAAAAACATGTAAAAAAACCAAGTCTCGCAACTCAGTTCTTCTACCGTAAATGTTGTGAGATCCATGTAATACCAAGTCGGTTAATTTATTCAGTTCCTACTTAAGGGTCCTTCTCTGTTTTAAGTTATTACGTAATTAGCTAACCTAACAACATTTTATAGTGACCGTATCAATTTTAAAAGTCTTTTATGTTTTAAATATATAGAATGACTTGGCAATCGCATTAAGCAATCTAATTTAATATAATACGTATTACTTGTGAGATACATTGTGGTTTCATGCGATGGCCAAGTCAATCTATATATTTAAAACATAAAAGACTTTTCACATTGATATGGTCACTATAAAATGTTGTTAGGTTAGCTAATTACGTAATAACTTAAAACAGAGAAGGACCCTTAAGTAGGAACTGAATAAATTAACCGACTTGGTATTACATGGATCTCACAACTTTTTACGGTAGAAGAACTGAGTTGCGAGACTTGGTTTTTTTACAAGTTATGTTTTTAATGGTATTATTATTTCTAATTGTAGTTGGTATATAAAGACAAAATGTCACGTGCTGCAGCTTCATTATGTATTATACCTGTCTGCCGTTACTTACACGCTTTTGTTATCTTAATATAAAAATAATTGTTTATATATTCATATTTTATGCGCTGCCATACCATTCATTAGAATGTAATGAAACTGGCCAAGATTATAAGCATAGTACAATTAAATTACAGCAGGTGGAGCGCGTATCGTACCGGCAAATTTATTTGAAAGTTATATATTCATTAAACTTCAATGAATGTATTATCATTCCTAATCAAACAATATAACTTTCAAATTTAAAACGATATTTCCACAATTATTTCTTCTGTGGCAGCAGCTAGTGTATTTCAATCCATTGTAGCCTATAAAAGTCCACTGCTGAAGATAGGATCATAGATTGCCGTATGGAGGGATTTTGCCATAGTTGACTCACTTGGTGAGTGTGTTGTCAACCGCAGTTTTTATTGTTTTGACTTGTTATCAGGGAGATGCTGCTGCCCTTCACCAGTTTCGGTTACCATGTCGGCTCTTACGACACCCATGGGACGATATGCAGTGGATGTTCTTACACCGCCAATACACGGCAAAGCTAGTATATTATTAAAAACTTCAAACATCCCACCAGGGAGGTAAGAGCCGTGGTAGCTCGGATGGTTAACGCTCGCTGTAAATATAACAGAACGCGAGTAACCCGGGTTCGATCCCCGCCGGCACCAATGAAATTGTTAATTGCAATTTTAAGTGCTGATTTACCACGTGCTCGGCGGCGAAAGAAAACATCGTGAGGAAAACTGCATGTCTGAGGAATAAGAAAAAAATATTACGAAGGCATGTGAAGTTCGCCAACACGCATTGGGGCAGCGCGGCGGACACTTCCTTGCCCTAAAACCCTCTCAGAAATGAGGGGAGGCCTGTGCCCAGCAGTGGGACGTATATAGGCTGTAACTTTACTTTACTTTACTTTTTATTAGGGAGGAGAGTGTAGTGCGCGAGTGTATATCGTCGCTGCTGTCGTGCGCGGGCGTGGGCGGCGCTCAGATGCGCGCGCGCGCCGTGTGCGTGCACTCCGCGCTCAAGCTCTGCGCGCGCCTGCTGCTGACCTACGAGCGCAGACGCGACCTCGACGCCGCGCTCGCCGTACGTTCGCAACACAAAAAAAATTTTTGTGGGGGGTATTTATTTTTTTTTTTTTTTTTTTATGGTATTTATTATAAGGTTTTTTTTTTTTCCCCCAATTTTTTGTTTAAAATTTTGTTTAAGGTAAAATTAAATATTTTTTTAAATTTATAATTTTTTTTTTTTTTAATTATTTATATTTTTTGAAATTTTTTTTTTTGTTTTTTTTTTTTTTTTTTCCTTTTTTTTTTTTTGGGGTTGGTGAGAAGGGGGGGGCGAATTAAAAAACTTTTTTAAAGGGGGGGGAGGGTATTATTATTGGTTTTTAAAAATTTTTTTTCCTTTTTGTTATCACTTTCAAAGTTACTTGCCAAACTCGCGTAGTACACGAGTTTTTTTTTTTCAGTACAGTCATTTAAAACTGGTCAAAATATAAATTTTAATACTTGGTTGGGAAAAAAATTACATTTTCTCGTAAATTTTATATTTTTCTGTTAACTGTTATGACTTGACCCATTCCGGCTTTACGTCGACTTACGGGACACACACACACATTATATATATATATATATATATATATATATATATATATATATATATAATATCGCGCTGATCGAGTATTTCATTTCTTTATGGTTAATATAAAATACATTTAGAATTCTATATTTTTTGGTTTTTCATTTGATAACTGATTCATTAAGATTGCTATGAATGTTTAATTTCACACATTTATTTTAAAAAACACGAATGATATTGTCCTCAAAAATTTCTTTTTCTAAATTTTAATTAAAAATCACTTGCGGTCGTATTTTGCAATGATAACCAACCCACCAAAATAGTAATCATATTAGCCGTTATTAGTGAACATTGTATTTCCATACCAAAAAACAGTTGGGCGTAGTTATCACACGATAAGTACGCCCAACTTGGACTCTCCCATTATAATAATTTATTTATACCTACTTGTGTCGATTTTAATGTTTGTTATAAACGTTGTTACTGGAATTATTATTTCAGCTGTGATATTCATGTATAACACATAATAAGCTATGTGTGTATGTGATACGCTATTTAAAAAACATTAAAGTTGCAATGCAAACTTACAATTTAAAAAAAACTTCCAACAAACAAGGCTACAAATCCATTGTCACCTCTATGGACTAAGATGGAATGCCTCACAGTATTTAATTATACTGGCTCCCTAACCTTCAGATCGGGCACATCAGTGCACGCACTGCTGTTTGGCTGCAGAAATAGTCAAATCCAGGTGGATCTGATAGCATAAGAGAAATTATATCGTTATACTGAAGACCCACATTGTTCAATGTACCATAAAATGAGGTGAATAGAAATCGTGGGGTGGATAGAAACAAATCTGGTTATTTGATAAAGTTGTATCAAGGTTTTTCAAGATTACCAAAATAAATGAAAAATGTTAGCATATAATAAACAGTAGAAATAACCAGACATGTTTCTATTCAGCCTGTGGTTTCTATTCACCCTGTTTTACTCTGCAGTCAAAAGTAACTTTGACTGCAGAGTAAAATAGGGTGAATAGGGACTAAAATATATAGTACAAAATTTAATTTACAGATAATACGAGAAACATTAAGCGGTATACGACCACTGTTGTGCAGTGAAGATATGGAGGTTCAAGAGCGAGCTCATAACGCGTTTGCGCTTCTGGTTATCGTATTGCATCGTTTGAACCCCGATGACCCGGCGTTGCAAGTAGATGGTTTTGTAATGCCCGTGTCGGTTACATCTCTCAGTAATCAAACTGCGACGCTAGTGGAACATGAGCAAAGGTTAGTTTAAAATTGAAAAAAAAAAAAGAACTAATGGCATTTTTGGTAGCAAAAGTTTCCTTCATAAGGAAAGATATTCTAATTTGCTATAATAAAAATATTATTAGATCGCCATTTGGTGGCCTCATAAACGAATTAATCGCCTCTTCATTCTAAAAATATCGTAATAATTATATCATATCATAATAAAAAGTGCCCGGAATATTTTGACGGTCTCTGATGAACGATGGTACAATCTTCATGTAAATAATCTTCAACAGGTTTTTGTTTATAGAATAGGGTGACAAACGAGCACAGTCCACCTAATGGTGTAACCCATAGACATCTACATCTATCCTCGATCACAAATCAAAATTCAGATATGTTGTCACCCATGGGGAATAAGATGGAATGCCTCATTTCCAGTAACAAGAGTCTCCGTTTCTTTACACTCACCATACGAAACACAGCAGCATTAAGCTACTATTTTACGCTGGTATTCTGTGAGAGCGTGGTCCTTCCCCGGTCGAGCCGACCCATTCGTGCTACAACTATACTAACTAATATAACTGCACCATGGCTCTACCACGTAAGGTGCTATTAATTCACTACTTTATATAGACCTTTTTAAGAGTGCGTCAACTGGATTGCATTACTTTAAAATATATATCCAATACTTTCATATTGATGATGCCGCTACCCATTACCAAGAATTTCAGTTCGGCATTTTGTGTGGATATACTGCAAGTTGTCAGACGGCACGGCTTCGTTCGTTCTTAAGCTGGGATAAGTTGTTACATCCCTCTTATGCTATAGCACCATCAAAAGTGTGACGATCAAGACATCCTTCCTACATCGGGGGAGTCCCAATGTCCAGCATTGAACTTTTACAAGCTGATAAAGAAGAAGTAATAGGAGATACATTTTTACTTGTAATAATTTCAGCAACGGGTTGGAGAAAGAAGAGAGTGAGGAACTAACTAACGGCGAGGAAACGTCGCAGGGATTTAGCGGTGGATTAATAGAAGAGCTCGCTAGTCTTTTCGAAGGTGAACTTAAACCGGTCGCACCAAAAGCTCAAAAGAAAGTACCCATGCCATCTGAGTAAGTTTTTACTATCTTTAATACATATTATAAATAAAATTGATATGTCTGTCGGGGGGGTTGTTTGCATGCTATTAAGCCATGAAAATAAAGTTGCCCGTCTGTTTGGCTTAATCTTCTAAAATTTTGACTGAATCGTTTGTGATTGAACTTCATAAACAGAGAGCAATGCTAAGAGTGTGTTCCAGGCTATATTTTGTGATAAAATATATTAGGTCGGGGGTTATTAAGCTTTGAAAAAAAATGTCTTGAATTTGTATATAAAATACGAAGAAACTGTTTTTTCTTCGTATTTTATACACAAATTCGACATTTTTTTTTTCAAAGCTTAATAACATTTTATTATAATACATACAGTGTGTTCGGTTACCGGTGTCGGAGATTTTAATGCTATAAAATATAATCAATTTCATCGACAAATCATGCCTCAAATCTCATTTAGTATCTCATTCAGTATTTAAATGGCAGCCATTTAAATTTTTTTAGAGTCACCACCTCGACCCCGCGCTTTAAAATTACAATATTCATCGATGTTGAAGTCCTACATTCTTAAAAGATATCTCATTGGATAGATAAAGATACGCGTAATAAAATAAAAGCAAACTTTTAACTGCAAAATTGTATTTAGATCCTAAAAAAGACTTAGAAAAAGAAAAAAAATGTAAAAAAATCGGTTTTTTTTTTTCACATTTTCGACTTTAATGAAAAAAGTAAATCATTTACCTAATGATTTTTTACATTAATCAGATAGATCAGAACATATCCTAACCAAAAACATAAAAATCTTAATGGTAACCAAAAAAAAATCAGTATTATAACTGTTTGAATATGACCTTTGAAAAATTTGTCGCCCTGGTTGCAGACAGACAAAGTGAATTGTGAGAAGAGTGAAACACAACATTTCAAAATGCACGTAACTAAAAAGTTATTTATAAAAACTGTTTGAAATGACCTCCGCGATGTTGGAGACATGTTGTAGGCCTTATTGCCACATGTTGAGTTGCACGTCTGATCATCTCCCGATCTTGTCGCAATTCATTTCCAACTTCGATTATTTTATTAATCAACTTTTCTCGTGAGTTTGGCACGTTCGCATAAACTCTTTGCTTCATAATGCCCCATAGAAAAAAGTCTAAGGGAGGTAAATCCGGTGAACATGGAGGCCAAGCGATCCTTCCACCGCGACCAATTCACGGCGAATAGCGCTCATTTAAATAATTTCGCACATTTACTGCAAAATGTGCAGGTGCACCGTCAAGTTGGAGAATCATCCTTGCTCTGTGAGTTAATGGAAGCTCCATTAATTCTTCCAAAAACTGTGTTTGCAAAAACTCTAAAAATCTTGGGCCATTCATAGTTTCTGGTAAAATTATCGGCCCAATAAAATATCGTCTTTTATTCCAGCCCAAACGTTCACTCGAATTTCATGTTGGAAAGTATTTTCTCTAACAGCATGAGGGTTGTTTTGAAGCTACAGATACTCGTTACGGTGATTTGTATAACCCGATCTCGTGAAAGTGGCTTCGTCAGTCCACAAAATTCTTTTTAAAATATCTGCATCTTGTCTTGTTCTATTGATCCACGAACAAAAAACTGCCCTTATAGCATAATCAGGTACGCGAATGTCTTGTACCCGCCGAAAATGGTAGGGATACAAACCTTCCCTCTTTAAAACTCTCCACACTAACCATTTTGTTAAATTAAGCATATTGCTTATTCGTCTTACACCGAGTCTGGGATCTTGTGTAATTAAACGTAATATCCCTTCTTCCTCCTCAGGTGCCACAAGCCGAAATCTTTCAATAGCGGGTCTTCTGATCCCAAGTTCAGCTATCCGCAAATGTATCCTTACAAAAGTGCGAGCATTTGGTGTAGGCCTGTTGGGAAACATTCTGGCGTACTCTGTGACAGCTCTGTTTGCGTTGCCGTTGCACAATCCATACACAAAGTGGATATCAGCGACATGCTGGTTTGAGTATTTACCATCTGCCATTTTTGAAAATATCAAAATAACTAGAAACTTCACCACAAACTTAAAAAGTTCCACAAAACGGATTTTTTTTAACAATAACAACAACAAGCGATCTTAGAGGGGCAAAAGTAGTGTAATCACAACGCGTGGCGAGGGACGACTGTTTTTATTGTCCCAAGTACCTACACTTGTTTAGAACATCAAACAATGGGCTTTGGGTTTTTCTACCTGCTCTTGAACTATCATAAATGATCCTGCACGTGCAGCTTGCTCTTTTAAGAGGTCGTGTTTGATAAAGTACAATTCTTAAACTATTTAATTTACAATTAAGATTTTTATGTTTTTGGTTAGGATATGTTCTGATCTATCTGATTAATGTAAAAAATCATTAGGTAAATGACTTACTTTTTTCATTAAAGTCGAAAATGTGAAAAAATAACCGATTATTTTAAATTTTTTTTCTTTTCTAAGTCTTTTTAGGATCTAAATACAATTTTGCAGTTAAAAGTTTGCTTTTAATTTACTACGCGTTTCTTTATCTATCCAATGAGACATCTTTTAGGAATGTAGGACTTCTACATCGGTAAATATTGTAATTTTAATGCGCGGGGTCGAGGTGGTGACACTGAAAAATTTAAATGGCTGCCATTTAAATACAGCTAGGTCTAAATGAGATTTGAGACATGATTTGTCGATGAAATTTATTATATTTTACAACATTAAAAGCTCCGACACCGGTAACCGGACACATTGTATATGCCATTTTATTCGATAACTTGTTGCCATCTTGTAGGTAGTGACATAATCCCGTTGCTGTAGAAATATTGGGATTTTTGATTTAAAAATGCGACAATTAGTTTTCACAGTCCTCCCTTGATGTTAACCTAACTCTACCTAAATAATTCTGAAGAGATCGAAACAGGTGAAAATCTGAGGGTGCAAGGTCATGACTATATGATGGATGCATTAACACTTCCCAACCAAGCTCTCTCAATTTTTGCTGAGTGGCCAAAAATGTGTGTGGTCTGCCGTTATAATGATGAAAGACCACTCCTTTTCTGTTGATCAATTCCGGCCGTATTTTGAGTTTCGTTAGTTGTCGGCAGTAGAGATCCGAATGGATGGTTTTGCCCGGCGCTAAAAGCTCATAATAAACGATACCCTTTCAAACTCACTATAAAAAGGGGGTTTTTTTTTTTTTTTTTCTTTCTCAGCATCACCTTATTGCGTGTTAATCCGGGTTTCGCTACGGTCTGTAGAGCTGGACTACCCTTTGACCATGATCTTTTTCGCACGTTCTTGTCTTAGGTGAACCACTTTTCATCACCAGTGATCAATCTTTTTAAAAATGCCTAAGTTTCATTACGAATATTGAAATAGAGAATCACAAATGAGTACACGATTCATTAGGTTTCTTTCAGTGATCTCGTATGGTACAGGAATATCGAGGTTTTTGTATAGCCAGACTTTCAAAAGGGTCAAAACTGTTTTGAGGTCAATTCTTAGTTCTTTGAATATGTCGTAATTACTAATATACCGATCTTACTCCACTTTTTAAAAAATGGCGTCGACTTTATCCATATGAGGGCGACCAGCGCGAACTGCATCTTTGACATCAATATTTCCAGACTGATAACGCTTGAAACTACATTGTGCTACTTACACTTCATTGGGTCCATAAATGTCACAAATTTTTATCGCGGCATGAGTCGCATTTTCCCTTTTTTTTTTTTTGTAATAAAACTTCAGAATGTATCGAATTCCTTTGTCACATTCACTTATTTTGGCTGGCAGAAAAAAAATAAATGGCGGGAAAGTGTTTTTTACTTTTTCTTTTTCTTAATATCCTATATGTATTGATATTAAAACCAGCCAGATACAAACAGTACAACCAAAGAGATTTTTTCAATTTTATACAAACAATATACCAAGTAACTTTCTCCTCGCCTATTATATTTTATCACAAGAAATCTTTTGTGAAATCAAGAAACTGATGAAATAAATGGTTTTAGAGGATTATTTGATAAACTATAAGAGGTATAATAAGAGCTTGGAACTACACTTTTTTGCTTTGCAATTTTATATGAAAAAGTCCTTACACTTTGTTATCTCTTGAAGTTTTCTGTAAAATTATTTTTAACACATTTTAATTATTTAACAATAAAATTATGAGTATTTAAAGATAAGATGACAATAGTGATCTTCAATTTCAATTCAAAAAATTTCCCATATAGCACATAGATATAGATTAAATAAAAAAATTATAACGTTATCAATTGCAATACCGGCTACTTCTTTAAACAGTAAGTTTTCATTGTTCTATTTTTAAGCTTGAATCTGGACAAATGGTTATCCCGTGATCGGTGGTCCTCTGAGAGTTCGAGTTCAGAGGGAGAGGGCGAAGAAGGCGCCGTTTTCACAGTTCAACAAGAAGATGCAAGACCTCTTTCGCAGTTTACACCTGAAGAACTTCACATGGTGAGTTTAACATAACTCGTAGGAGGAATTTGCCATAGCTGCCACGCTAGGCAGGCAACTGTAACTTTTACATTGGCTGCGTTTGGCAAAAAAAGCGCTAGCAAGCGCTTGTAAGCAAAATGGCGATAGTAAGCGGTAAGCGTGTAATTAAGAGTTCCTCACCGATGTTAGCGGGAAATCTAACCTATTTAAATATATATTTGTAAAGTATTCATATTAAAAACTTACCAATCATGATACATGTATATGTTTATTCATGTCATTATATTACTTAAAACTAATATTGCACAAAACAACTTATCTCTACTTCAAAACAAACAAATTATGCAAAAGAAGTAGAATCGGTCGGAAACTATTTTAGCGCTTATAAGCGTTGTAGCGCTTTTTTGCAACGACCCATATTTTTGATTGTTATATGGAAGATGCTGCTACCCTGCTGCTACGGATGATACGCTGTAGTAGGGATTTTTACGCCGCCACTAGACAGCGAACAGTAAAACAAATATTATTCAATAACAATACACGTGAATTCGGTATGTAAGCTTTTTTAGGTGTCTGTTTGTTTATACACAAAGTTACATTATAAAAACCGTGTCGGTGCGGTGTTAGAATATCCACTACTCCATAACATCCCGTGGATGTCGTAGGAGGCGACAGAGAGAAACTGGAACAGGTGACGGCCAGCAGCATCTTCCTGATAACAACTAAAATAATAGAAAAACTGCGGTTGCCAACCCGCCTGCCAAGCGTGCCAACTATGGCAATATTCCTCCTATGAGGCAGTCTATGTTAAACAGTGGACAATATATCCTGTACATTACAAACACCTAATTTAATTGTTTCTGTTTGTTAAAAATTAATTACTTTTTAACAGCTTTTTAGACTTTTAATAAGTCATAGTGTAGACTAAAAGGTGTTGCCTATGCCTGTGTTCCGAAATAGAACCCAGTATACCGCCAAATGCAAATGACGCCATAAATCGACGCCATGCTAATGATTCGTTTCAAACGTTGGCCACTATATGAAGTCATACATTTGCACCATATTGCAAACGTACACCGTAATTTGGCTCTGTCAAACATTAATTAAAATAAAAATTAACATCATTTAGTACAAATAATTTAGTTTTAGGTTAAGTACAATAATTCTATAAATTACGTGAAATCTGGCATGCTTCATTCAGCATACACACAATTAAAAATTGTTTTAATATGGTGGGATATGCGACACGATATGGCGGCGGCACGCCAACACAATATGGCTTCCATTAATGACGTCATTTACATTCGCCAGTATACTGAGTTCTATTTCGGAACACAGCCCATGTCGAGCATAGAAAAAGTAATAATACCCAAAGAGGAGATAATCACTACGTTTATTTCATAGGCGGGACGTCCATAGTAAAAATATTTGTATGAAAAGGGTGCAGAGCTATCCTACCAATATCAAAACATGATATTTAACTTTTGACGAACAATGCTGACAACCTATGTGAATTATAAATGCTGTAAATATATAAATTTGATTAATTTTATCGGTTTGGTATTTAACGATATTTTAACGTATAAAAGTTAAGTATCCTTATTGTATGATTTTTGCTAAATTAAAAAAAACTTTAAAGTTTAAATATTACGTGAGGATTGAATTGAGTAAAAGTGCCGGTCTGGGTAATAAATCAATTTTTTTTTCACACTCCTATTTTATTCTTATAGTTATTTTTCTAAACGTACAGTTATTAGGTACAGATATCACGTAGAAAGATCTAAAAAATAACAATGTAAAATTGTATTATTACTTAGTTGAATAGCGTACTAAGCGTTTGGCTGCGGTATTGTATGAGAGCTAGCAACGTCGGTAAAATGAGAAATTAAGGTAGGCTAGATTTTAGATATGCTTTCTCTTTCACTCCCCAGCATACGGGCTAAGGCCGGTTTTAGAGCTCGACCGACCGTCGGTGGGTACCATCGGTCCTGACTATACGCATAACCGATCGTCAGTTTGTAACGTTCAGTGCTCTCCTGAGTAACTAAACTGCTCGGACTGGTACAGTCAAACAAACACGTACACGAAATGGACGCGTTTACAAATTGTTTAGTTGCTGCTTACTATGTACGTAAACGTATAAAGAACAGAAGACGTAGATATCACGTACACCCATAGAAATTCGGAAACAAAGCTGTACAAACTTCTTTCCAGGCCTTTAACTTGGCATCACGGTCTTTGATCACGTGGTCTTTGTCCCACAGAAGTTCACGGAGACGGACTTCGGTAATTAGGCGTTCGGTGTCGACATATGTCATGTTTGATAAAAATTTCTTAAATCACTAACACTAATTAGTACCTATAAAATCATACAATATTATTGAAGTTTAGGTTCGATTTTCTTGACGATAATACACGCATCCATACGGTCGGTCCACCGATCAGTATAGCACTGAACGCGTTAATATGTTTTCATAGCGCGTCGGTCGACCGACCGGCAGTGCGTAGCAATGTACAGTCCTCGCGGCGTAAGCTGATCTTTGCATTTGTGTGAGTGATCGCCAAAAGTACAGTTAGTAAAAAATCTATGTTTTATTAAAAGTTAATGCTGATATTTTGATTATCCTAAATTACAGTAATAAACTACATAACAATATTATAACTCTTCTTCTCCGCTCACTGCATCTTCATCTTCACTCTCGTCTGATGACTCATCAGAGCCTGTGTTAATAATGAATCGCTCCGATAAACCGTCGATAGCGGCGTCTCGACCATCAAATGCTTTTTCTTCTTTAACTGCATGGTCACAAACATTTTTCCACTCTTGTACAGTGATCACGTCAACTTTTTCCTTTGTTAATCTCATTATAGTGTCCATATTCATAGACACGTTTTTTTAGCTACGTATCCTTTTACCATTGCCCATATATTTTCAATAGGATTGAAATCAGGGTGGTAGGGTGGTAGACGTAGAACGCTGTGACCATGTTCTTGGAGCAAATTATCAATTTTATATTCAACAAATCTTGCTTTGTTTTGTAGCATTAACTGATAAAGTTGTGGTTTAAGCATCGATCCAGAGTGATCGATATTTCGATATTTGAGTCATAGCTTGTTTACGATGGTTTGAATTGGGCGCGGGATTTTGATACGAATTGTGGTATGATGCATTGTCAACCACCACAACACTATTCGGTTTTAAATTTGGAATTAGCTGCGTTTGCAACCATTTTTTGTATTTCTCGGTGTCCATATTATAATGATAGTCACCACTTTTTTGGTTTGCCTTGAACCTTGAGTAGGGCATTGGATATGAAACCGTCCTCTCCGCCGGCATGAACTATTATTAACCGATTTCCCTTAGAAATTGGTTTCTTTAAACCAGAGGTGCTTCCATCTGAATAAGATTTCGACGAAGTGTGAGACGTGTCTATATATGTTTCGTCAATATAAACGATTGGGCGGCCCTGAGCGCGATATTCGGCAATTTTAATGAGAAACATTATTCGAAGATATCGTATTTCACGTTTCTCCATAAGGGTTCTGCGATTATCTTCTGTCCTTTTCCATTTGAATCCTAATAGAGATACTTCTTTTCTTAATGACGTAATTGCACCTGGATAATTTATTTCTGCCTTTAACTTTTCGTGTAATATTTTCGTATTGGGAACCTGTTTGTCGGTGATGTGAAAGTTATGAAGTATTCTCCGATTTACCGCTTTATCAAAATCATCGATCACAATGATATTTTTCCTGCATCTTGTTTTTTTTTCGGAGATTTAAATTTGCTTCCATCTTCCAAAGCACATTTACCTTCTAATAAAACCTTTTTTACAGTTGACAGCGGAACTCCCGTCGATGTCGCTACCAATTGGGCCGACGTAACGACACTTGACATATCCTTGTCGTTTAAATCTTTGAAATACGTATTCAATTTGTATAAAATTTCTTTTGTTTGGCTGCTTAATGGTCGTTTAGTCTATTTACTTACAGTAGGAGCTTTTTCACAAAAAATTCGAAAACAACCACAAAAAATTACACGTCTATCTGCTAGCGGTACCAGAGGTGAAGTGGGGAATGTGCGCGGCAGGGAAGCGACGCGTGGAGGATGCGCCGCGCCTCAGGCCGCGTTTTAAAAACCAGGTTTAAACCATGTGCGGGACGCGCTGCGTCTCAAGCCGTGTCCCACTGTACACTATCTGTGTGCACTCACACAAATGCAAAGCTCAGCTTACGCCGCGAGGACTGTACGCGTGCGTACGGTGGGTCGAGCACTGCAACGACTTCTGAATTTTCATATAAATGGCAAGCGCGACCGACGTACGCACCGACAGTCGGTCGAGCTCTAAAACCGGCCTAACTGGCTGGCGGTGGAAGTTGAGTTCATTAGTGCGCATATAAATAATTAAAGAAGATTTTCTTTTTTTCATTTAATTTATTTAGTTTTTCAAAACATAAATATGTTATTGCCAGACATTATTATCATTGCGTACCACGTGCCAGGCGCTAATTTATTACAATACTGCGGATTCGGTCCCGCACGGAACAATGTTTCTATACCTTAAATTTCTGGATCCTAGTGTTTGTCCTTGTGCATTTATGAATGTTGAGTATTTTAGGTCAAACCCATTCATTCAAAGATTAACTCTTTTCAATGCGAAACTTCATTGAAATTCCAATGAGATAATAGATCCAAAGGAAAAAAGTCTTTATATCTGTACATTTGACAAACATACGGTCGGTCTTGCTTATACTGTTCTTATGAGTATACATTTTAGTTTGATATATGTATTGTGTAGTCGTTATTTTCAACTGGAGTTTCTTTTTCAAGTCGGGTTTGAAATGATTAACACAGATCTGTTTTAACTTTTTAACATACAAAGCTTTTCCATGGCACATATACCATGTTTTCCTTTCCAAGAATTTCTCACCCAATATTTGCATATGAACAAAATCTTATTCATAATACTAAAATTTCATTTTTAAATATGTTTATTGAAGAAATAGAGCGTAGGTAGTTCCGCTTGATCTCTTTCCGTCCAGATTGCTATCCCCTCGAACTATAAGAGTGAGAGAATGGTGAGTGTATTTGTGTTTGTGCACACATTCGTGTCCTATAACCCTGTCGTACGCCGATGGTTAGTCTCCGATGAGACTGGCCGCCGTGACAGAAATTCGATCTAGGGGACATAACCACAAGTAAAGGCCCTAAAAATGTATTCGCGTAAAATATATTACAATTGAAAGTTAAAATTACTATCTAACTTTCATCATCTAAAAAGAGCTTTGCCAGAAAGAAGCTTTTATATATACAACGCATGTTTTAAATTATTGGAAAAATATACATTTATATTTTTTATTACAGGTTCGGCATAATACTTGTTTTGACAATGGCCACAGAGTAAATAATAGTACTACGTACAGAAATTGCACTACTTTGATGTTGACTGCTTGCCGACGTTTAATATCCTACATAATTATTATTAATTAGATAAATCGCGCACGCAAGCTAAATAAAACTTTATCGCTGCGCGCGAGTGTCAGTATTACTTTGCATCTTTTCCCCTTCCTACGTCACAGCGGACTTTCCGTGATAACAAACGGCTGGCAATAAAGAGTAAAACATACATTGCGAATTGTTAATTAAGTTACTTAGGTAAAGTACCTATTCTGACTATGACCGACTGACCATAATTTCGCACCTATGTGATTTCTGCTATGCCCAACGCATGCAACTTTCAAGGCCATTTTCGTCAGTAATCGCGATGCTTGGCTCGGAAGAAAAAGGTAGATAATGTAAACAATAAATAAACCTGAAATACGATTCCTAACAGATATGTGATCGTATTCTACTTAGTTAAAAATCCTGTTAGTAAACAAAGTTTTAATTTCCTTATTTTGTGTTATTATAACTCAAAATATTTTAATTACTACAAAAGACAAGTATATGTATGTAAGTAAATACTTGGATAGTGAAGTAAATTTCTACTAAGGTTTGTAATAAAGTTCTTAAGTATAACTCCTTTTGATAAATTATTACTTGCTTTTTACTATAAGTACCTACTAACAAAAAAAATTAAATAAATTCACCTTCCATAACTTCCTACTAAAATCTTTCAGTAACTTAAAGAATGATATATCTGAAACCTTTCGTTGGTCATTTAGCATCTATCCACGCAACAATTATAGTAGAAACGATGTTTTGCCATTTTTAATTTATCAAATAAGTAATATACATAATACATATAATTTTTAAATTACACTAAAACTTTTTGGACTATTTTATCCTATAATTAAATATATTAAACATTAAACAAAAATTACGAGTATTTACAAAAAAACTATTTACGTAAACAGCATTATAAATTAATCAATGGCCTAGAACGCGCTAGCCCCGACTGCGTATGTATCCCTGGCTGCTTCGCGAGTGTAAGTAATTATTTCACGCGTGTAGCAAGAGTGACACAGGCCTGCAATGGTATTGAAACAGAAACAAACTTTTTTTATTCAATATATATTATAAATATTACTTATTGAAAGACATTTTCTGTTAATTTACCACTGGTTCGGAAAAAAAACCTCTGTCCTGGGAAGAACCAGCAAGAAACCCAGCGGGACTTTAAAAAAATAACGGCTTATAATCATGTATGTTACAATTAACAATACATAACAAATTAAAAATAGCTCGATAATTATCACCCTTCCCAGAATTATTATCATACAAACTTAGTTTAATAAAGTTTATGAACTTTGTGCAGGTGTAATTTTGTAAATTTTCTGGCATTTTGCTTTAAAAGCGTATACATTGCCCCAAGAATGAATTACTGACTCGGTGGAGTCGAGTAACTGGTACTACTAGTTTGTGTCTGTTCCTAGTATTTATAGAATTAATATCACTTATTTATCTAAAACTACTTTTATTTTTGTGTACGTAAACAGTGAACAACGCTAAATAATGAAATATGCAACTAAATGTTGCTGCTAATTTCAAATGACCCACAAAACTACCTCTAAATTGCAAATTCAAACTTTGTACCTCACTCTGTATTTGAGTGACTGTATAATATTAATAACTACGCCGAATTTCAGTTTTCTACATAAACCATGAGGAAAACTTCTCTGACAGGCAGACAGACTGATCACAATTCTTTATGAGCATAAAACAATGGAGGCATGGTAGCTCAGATGGTTAACGCTCGCTGTAAATATAACAGAACACGAGTAACCCGGGTTCGATTCCCGCCGGCACCAATGCAATTGTTAATTGCAATTTTAAGTGCTGATTTACCACGTGCCCGGCGGTGAATGAAAACATCGTGAAGAAACCTGCATGTCTGAGGAATGAGAAAAAAATATTTCGTAGACATGTGAAGTTCGCCGACACGCATTGGGGCTGCGCGGCGGACACTTCCATACCCTAAAACCCTCTCAGAAGTGAGGGGAAGCCTGTGCCCAGCAGTGGGAATTATATAGGCTGTAACTTTTATAAAACAATGGAATGGATAATTAGTATAAACATTTTTAACAATTTACAGTTGAAAGAGGCGCGAAGGCAAGAGCAAGCTAATAACCCTCATTATCTGAAGGATGATTCACCGCGCTCTTACCAACAAGATGACATTCCAATCGCAGAACTTGCCCTTGAAGTTCCATTACAAGTCCACTGTAAGTAATGATTCTGTTTTTTGTAAAATCTGCCACTACTAGAGCTTAGACATATTATGTATTGTATCCCGCACAACTCAAATAGTGTAAAATAATATATATTTTATTCTAATATTATTGTGGATATTAATTTATTACTAACAATTTTTTTTAATTTGCAGCAAAAAGATCTGATAAGTACTTAAAAGAGACCACTAAAAAGACAAAGAAGGAAAAACGACATACAAAGAAGAGAAAAAATAAGCCCGAAAAGTATTCTACTGAATCGGAGAGTGAAGGTAATAATATAATTAATTACTGTTTATTATAATAGTTAAAAACTAGTTTAATTTATTCATAAAATGTAAAAAAAATGATTACAGGGTCTTGTAGGCGGCTACTTACGACAAATAAATAAGAATAATTATTTACTTGTAGTAAATTGACGTTGTGAGAAAATCCAGCACTCCGTCCACAGAGGAGGTCGTAACCATATGATAGTTAAAAATATTTTAATATATAATTAATGTCCTACAAACCGAATTTACCTTACGGGCGGCGGTCAGTTCAACGGAGACTAGCCATTTACGCGGGACAGGATTAGAGTACGAGTGTGTGCGCAAACATAGGAGCTCTATTTACTCAGTTTCCTAGTTCGATGGGACGGCATTCCAACACCACCTTAGAAATATCAGGCGCAGGACCAACGACTTTAAGTGCTTTCCGAGACATGAGGGTAAAACACGGCCAACTTTCTAATTTCGCTAAGCTACTGACTTGTCAGAACAAAATAACTGATTTTGGCTTGATCCCAGTATATGAACCGAAGATATGATCTCAGCAGTCCTGCTTGCAACTACTAGATCAGTGCGGCAGTCTAGATTGTTGTTACAAATATTACTATAAAAATAATCAAACCAAGATAGAACCAGATGTTGCGATTACTTAGGTGTGTTCCAAAATAGAGCCCAGTGTACTGTCCAATGCAAATGGCGTCATAAATTGAAGCCATACTGGTGATTCGTTTCAAAACATTTGACAGTATATTATGACACCATACATTTGCGTCATATTGGAAAAGTATTGGCGATTATTTTGTCATTTTATGCTCCAAACGTCATTATATCCTCCTAATGGAGATACACAGCAATTATTCTATAATTTTTTTGTATTTGAATAAATAAAAACAAATTCTGGCGTGCTTCATTCAGCGTACATACAATTAAAAATTGTTTTAATATGGCCGGATATCCGACACAATATGGCGGCGGGCCGCTAGTTCAATATGGCGTCAATTAATGACTTCATTTGTATTTGGCATTATACTGGAAACGTTTCGGAACATACCCCTTATCGACACCTCGAGTGCAATGATTGTGACAGTGAATCTTGCAGTCAGCTTACTATTGGTCCATGTTTATTATAAAAACAAAAAATTTCATACGCGAATAAGTAATGAGCCTATATTTTTTAGAAGCTTTTATCCATATATTTAAGTAATAATACTTTTGAAGCTTGACTGAAAAAAAAATTCTTATGTGTACGCGAACACTATACATTGAATAAAACTACTTTTACGGATTTTATCCAATGATTTCAAAAGGAAGAATACGCCCATCTAAATATTTTACTCATAACTCTTCATACAAGTAAAAGAAGCGCATTTGTTATAATACAAACGTCATAACACGACGTAACCAGGTCGGATTTCGTTATATATTTATCCTGTTTGTACCATTATTTCATATGTGTAGTATGGAGTATCGTAATAATACTGTTGCCATAATTAATGCCACTAGCGCCATCTAGTATCGAGTAGCAGAACTAGAAGAAAACTTTCTAAACTTAGTCGGTTAGGACCGGTATGTGCTCGAACATTTTAGATGTTTCAGTGGAAAAGGCTTATATAAGGCCGGTATGGACCGCAACTGAGTCAGTATTAAATTGGCGATGCAAGCGAATACTCCTAAGCGATACAACTGCGAACTAAAGTGTTAAGTGTGATTAATTATTATTGTGTTTTAAGTTGTAGTTGGTGTTCTGTAATTAAAGTGTCAATTTTGGTAATTCAATCGGCAGTTTTTACTGTCACGAACCCTAAGCTCGTAACAATTAGTGTCAAAAGTGGAATAAAATCATGCCGATTTAGGATGTCACGGAGGGTATCCGTACCAGAAGACAACGCCGGCAGGAGACGGACCAGAGACGATTCGGTGGTGCAACGCCGCAGACATTGAAGGGCCAGCTGCCGGCCACGGAGGCCGGCCCGTTGGCAGCTCCTACATCTGCAGCACCTGACTTATGTACTCTGATGTTGATGCTGCAGGAACAGGCCCGCCGACAGAATGAACATACCCGTCGGTGGAAAGAGCAGCGTTTTAGATGGAACAGGCCCGCCGGCAGGAGGAACAGGTCCGTCGGTTGGAAGAGCGGCTGCGAGGCGGACAGGAGGAACGGGCCCGTCGGTTGGAAGAGCAGATGCTCCTCAAAAAGGACCTTCACGCTAACTTCGAAAACCGAAAGAGATAAGAAAGGTGAAGGATAGGATTGCTCAACATGATAACCGCCTGCCGGAAGCTGAAACCCGAATCGAGTAAAATGTACAATCGGGTTGACAACGTGATGGCTGACTAGAAGAAAACGCTGGACTATCTCAAACTTGGGGATGGAATAACAGCTCCCGTGATAGCTACAACACCTACGCTACGTGGATTCAAAGTGCCACCGTTCGACGGGTCTTCTGCCTGGTCGGTCTACAAAATCCAGTTCGAAGCTGTCATGAATGGCTGGAATAAAAGTCGGGCCATGACTGCTCTCACACTAGGCCTGCGCGACTAGGCCTTAAGTGTTCTGGAAGTTCTCTGTAAGGAAGTGACTTAAGAGCAGCTCCTTGAGGCATTGGAGGCGATATATGGCGTTGCTCACCCGGAACACGTCTTTCGAGCGCAGCTTAAAGATCGTGTGCAGCGCATCAACGAAAAACTGCAGCAGTAGGCCTTTGAGGTGGAGAAGCTTGTTCGATAAGCATACTGGTCTGTACCTGCGCTCATTGAAGGAACCTGGTGCAGACATGCATCGACGGCATCCGCGACCTTGAAGTCAGAGCTGCTGTGAGGCTCTGGCACCACGAGAAGCTTAAGGACGCCTTGGCCCATGTATTAGAGGTGGAAGCCGTGCGGCAGGATCATCGTTCCCATCGCGTCAGGGAGGTTGCAGCAGCTACAGTTTGTGGCCGCAATAAAGGATACAGCCCTAGGTGCTACCGCTGTGGGGAAAGGGGCCATCTTCGATCGCTGCCCTAAGCGAACTGTAAAAAAGGGAAATTGATCGATCTAGAGAGGGTAGTGCAGTTGACAGCACCGCCCAGCAGCAGTGGAAATGCGACTTTGTGATCGAACACCGCAGCGGGACAATTCATGGCAACGCAGATGCATTGTCTAGAAGACCTTGTTCTGTTGATTGCTAGCATTGTACTAGGCAAGAGGGTAAGGAAGTGGTATCTATGAGGACGCTCAGGACAGACCACCTCAGCAATGAGTGGAAGGACAGCCTACAACATGCACAGCAGGAAGATTCGGACATCAAACCGATTCTAGAATTAATGAAAGCTAGTGCTCCCAATCCCGAGTGGAGCAACGTCTCAACGTTGAGTTCGACCACTAAAAGCTATTCGGCCCAATGGGACAGCTTACTGACTGATTCAGGATGGAGTTCTGTGCCGTAAATGGGAAAATGTTCGGGGAGACAGCTGTCATTTGCAAATGATTGTCCCTAAAACTAAAGTACCGGCTGTTCCACAGCTGTACCATAATGATTGTTCAGGAGGCCCATCTGGGAGTTAAACGAACTCTACTGAAGATCCGAGAACGTTTTTACTGGGTCCACTGTCGTGGCGACGTCGAGGAGTAATGTCGCAAATGTACAGGTGCGGGGAGGGAGAGTGTAGAGGTGGATGAATTCAATGTGATCCCATGGGAGAGAATATCCATGAGTTGGAGTTAAAGTGAAAGTGGTAACAAATATTTCATGATTGTGATGGATTACTTCGCTAAGTGGCCATTCCAAATCAAGATGCTTCAACAGTTACAGGTAAACTAGTTCATGAAGTCTTCTGTCCTTTTGGAGTACCTTTGGATTATCACAGCGACCAAGGAAGGAATATTGAGTCTCAAATATTCTAGGAAACTTGCCGAGTTATGGGTACTCATAAAACAAGAACAACTTCTTACCACCCGCAATCTGATGGAATTGTAGAACGATTTAATGAGACATTGAAGAGGTACCTAGCAAAAGGACAAGCACATACAACCGTTTTTGTTGTCATATCGAAGCGCTGTTCATGAAAGTACATCAGTGCCACCAGGTTTCGCAAAATTTGAAAGAGAATTACGGCTGCCTGTAGATCTGATCACCGAAATACCACCTGATGCCCCACGCAGTATAACTGATTGCCAATGACTTGCGGAATAAACTGAATGACATTTATGACCACGTCAGACAATCGTTTTGCAACGAATGGCTGCAAAGATGAAAGCTCGATATGACCGCAAAATGAACAACAAATGGTTCGACGAAGGTTCACTAGTGTGGTTGCACAATCCAGCCCAGGAGGGAAGGACCGTACCGGATTGCGACAAGGATCAATGACGTAACCTACCAAATACAGAAAGGTGCAAATTAAATTGCGTATTCGTCGTGACCCTTGAGGACTAAGATGGGATACCTTATTTCCTGTAAAAAGAGTCTCCGGTTCTTTTACACTCACCATTGGAAACATAAAGTTAAGTAAGCAGCATTAAGTTGCTATTTTACGCTGGTTTCTGTGAGAGCGTGGCCCTTCTTACTCAAGCTGACCCATTCGTAGTACAGCCATAATAATAGTCTCGCTGTAGCTTTTATTATATAATTAGGGCGACAAACGGGCACACAGTCCAACTGGTGGTAATGTGAATGCTGTGGTCCCTTGATATCTATATCTATTCTCAATTCAAAATCAAAATGCAGATGCGTTGTCACACCATTGAGTACTAAGATGGAATATCTCATTTCCACTGAAAAGAGTGTCCACTTCAATACGCTCATTATACGAAACAACAACTATGAGCTGTTGTTCTACGAACGGACGTCAATTAAGATAGCTAACCGTGACTAAGTCTTATTACTCATATTATAATAGTGACGTGACGACCCCATCGCCCGCTGACGTAACAGTTGCCAAGCGGTGTGAGCGCCCTGCGTAGGCAAAATTGTGGGTGCAAAGGTCCGTTTGTGCATATGAACAAACCACGAAACGGTGCCGGGCTTGGGCGTCTCCTGTTATTTAGCGCCCATAAAATGGATGATGGCACAGAGAGGAACGCGCATAGGGCCGCTGCCTGAGGGTCGCCGGGGCGCGTCTGGAGCTGGCGCTGGACGCGGCAGCATGTGGGCCGCCAGCCGAGCGCGAGGAGCTGCACGATCACCTAGCAGCCCCCCGCATCCATCATCCTCACCAGAAGGCTTGGTGTCGGCTGGGTCTTCTCGGACTCAGCAAGCGGCACCCGCCGCTGGTGGAGCATGTCGCATGCGTTGGACAAAATCTATGAACGAAACCGCATTGCGGGCGTACTATGGGGATGAAAGGGGAAGAAACTGTGGGGATAGCGTATAATAGGGCTCGGATGCATTGCGTTTTTGCTGAGCTGGAGCCGTCTATTCCCGTCACGGAACAAAACCTGGCAGACCGCGTTCGGTACATCATGCGCTCGAAAATATTTGATGATGCCGAACTCGAACGACTACGACGTGAGGCTATTACATCATCGAATGAATCGACTATGGCTGGGGATGCGGCTCCACATGCGACAGACTAGCATTCACACGTGAAAGCCGCTATGGAGCTTCCAGTTGTGGTTGATTCGGACGAGGATGAAAGTCTCCCACGAACTAGAGCAAATGAGGAACATATTGGAAGAAGCGATTTTGGAAAAGCGCAGCATGTCTCTCGAAAATCGACCACGGCTTCCCCCGCATACCCCTAAGCAAGCGAATGTCTTGTTGGTGTTAATTTTTTTATAAAATCGGTCTGTCGTGAGGGCTCTTAACCCAATGCTGGTGACCTATTTAGAAGCCAGCCGGGACCTTTGCGAGACGGACTCAATTCTATTTGGCGCCGCAGTGGCAGTTTGCCGTATTATTGGCGCCAAACTTCCCATGGCTGGACACGCTACTAGACAAAGTAGCGCCATCCCAGCCTGGAGAAAAAGAATCGAGGACCGTATCGCAAAGGCAAGGGCCCTTATCGGCAGCCTGACAAGCTTCAGGTCAGGTAATAATAGACCGAGGATTGTGCGCACCGTTAGAATGGCGTTTGCTGGGATAAATATCAGTTTGTCCCAGCCGGATATCACGCAGAAACTAACAGAGCGCATAGATGACATGAAGCAAAAAATCGCTGCTTGGGGGAGGCGGATTCGACGATTTACCGAGAGGTTAAGGCGGTTCAACCAGAATCGTCTCTTCCAGAGTGATCAGAAGAGGCTCTATAAATCATTGGAGGGACCAGAGGTATGTGGAGCGGGCCCAGGACCGGATCAGGCTGACATTATCGCATTCTGGCGTGGCCTGTGGTCAGACGTCGTAAACCACAGCGAGGGCCCTTGGATGGAAGTTGTGGCGAGCCAGGGTGCGAGTGTTACGCCTATGGACCTCATCACCATAAAGCCGAAAGACGTGGCTGAGGCGGTCCGTAGGGCCCCGAACTGAAAAAGTCCTGGGCTCGACGGGCTGCATCATTACTGGCTGAAGGGGTTCATAGTGTGTCATGCTGTGCTCGCCCGATAGTTTCAAGAGGCTCTCGACTAGAAGTCGCTCCCGAGCCTCTTCACTACTAGGATCACTCACTTGGTTCCTAAAGATCAGGATACCACAGACCCGAGCAAATACCGCCCCATCACGTGTCTACCCACCATATATAAGACACTGATATCCGTTTTGAGCGCGAGAATCACTCCTCACCTGGATCTAAACCAGGTGATGTCAAAATGAACCTTTTCTATATGGATGACCTCAAGTTATTCGCCTCCAGTCGCTCCCATCTTATGGAATTGCTAAACATCACTTGTGAATTTAGCAATTCTATTGGAATGGAGCTGGGGACGGATAAGTGTGCATTCCCCCATGTTGAAAGGGGAAGGGATGCTAACTCTGAGGGCATAGACTTATCTATGCCCGTCAACCTAAGGACCCTTTCCGTGATGGACCGCTCCGGGCTCAAATGCAGAAGGTAGTGCTCCTCGATACCGCCCGCATCGCCCGCCGGTTTCTTTTCCTTTCCTCCTAACCCTCGGCCGTTTGATGTCCCCTGCCGAGGGCTTCCGTCTGTATTTATTTATCTTGTATTTATTTTATTTTATTGATATTTATGTATTTATCTTTTCATTTTAATTTATAAGTATATATTTATAGAACCCAACCAGATGAGAAACTATACAGATACCCCATGATAATTATAATAATAACCTTTATTTGCAAGAATATGGTTGTACAATGCTGTTCGAGGAGTATAATTTGTTCTACGTATTCTACCTCAGTGGTGTGCAAATATTAATAGTCAAGTACTCGTAACTTATACAACAATACTTATCGAATTTTTATTAACACTAATTTTTTTAACATTACTCAGTTGTTTTGATTTGATTTTTTGAGAAATTCGGCAATATTATCCCATATTATCCCATATTTTGTTTGTGATCCTAATGCTTTTGCAATCACGGTGTGAAGTATCACAAGAAGTATAAAGTAGTGGATAATTTTGCACTGTTACTATTAAAATCTCCGTATTTAGCAACATTTTTGTCGCGGTACATACGGACTGTAAACGTTTGCAAGTGAACGCGTTCCAGCGGCCGACAGGGCGCGTGCTCGCTCACACACACGCGGTGGCAGAGGGAGCGAGGCGTACTCCCTCAGCAGCCCCTCGCAAGACCCAACATTACCGCACGTATTTTGTAGATGTAAGTGTGGGGTCTGACAAAATAATAGTCTATTTTTACACTTATATTTTTTTATTGCGCTGAGCACACAGTAATGACAGTCTAACAACAGCACAATACAGAAGGTACAAATGAGAAGATAGGAACACAGTAATATACGGAAAGAAGAATTTAACGATAAAAACCGCGTAAGCATGGGTCTTAGGCTAACAACAGGTATAGGACACAAGCGACGTGCAACGCGGAAGCGGACGAACTGGCGATCTCGTTGTCCCGAAGGCGCGGGCCAGTTTTACATTCTTCATTATGCAAATACATAAAAATGCATGGCGCATGTACATAATTTTTTCTTGAGAATATTAACAATGCTATAATCATTACTAATATTCCCCTTAACCACTCGTGGGAAGCTTAAATTGTTTGTGTTACGAGTGGTTCACGCCAGTAGTCGAATGGCGGATTCGAACCCTCGACCTTTTTCAGTTTGCGGTCCGCGCCCTGCCATTAGGCTACTGTCGCTTCAAATTAAAATTAAGTTACAAAATCAAATTAAATTATAAAATTAAGTTATCAATAGGTAATATTATACAAAATTTAGACATTTTTATTAACATTCGTATCATTAACAATTAACAAAACATACATTAATAATAGCTTAAAAGTTAAGTATAAAATACGAATATTTTTGAATTTTCAACATTTAAAATATAAAATATAAAACTCGCCACATAGACTTAGATTGCAAGCGAATACATCTGGCCGCCATCTCAAGCCGCTTGTGTGTAGGAGAGGCTTTCAATGAGCATGTATTTACAGAGGAGGGCGAGGAGTTGTGCTCGCGGCCGGCGGTGGAGGCGGGCGGCGAGCTGCCGGAGGGCGCGGCGCCGAGCGACGACGAGCCGCCGCCGCACGACGACCCGCACCGCGCGCTCGACCTCGACCTCGACCTGTAACATTTTGATTTTTTCTTCAAGCAAATACGCTCTTTAACGTATGGTAGTGAAAGTTGGGTGTGGCAGAAGAAGCACGGGAGTAGAATAACCGCAGCAGAAATGCGGTCGTTAAGGAGTACAGTACCTGGCGATAAATATTGCACATCGATCTTTGGAAGGAGACAGTCGGCTAATTTCGGCTTCGTAGAGCGTTATCTCTGTCGCACACTGACTTAAGGATTGTTTGTATTTCGTGCGACAGAGGTAACGCTCTACGAAGCCGAAACTAGCCCATTTTCTCTTTCCAAAGATCGATGTGCAATATTTATCGCCGGGTATTGTATCTTAGGGTTGAATTTGAATGACATGATGAGAAATTGTGTGATAAGGGAGGAGTGTGGTTTGCACGAGGATGTTGTGACAAGGATTGAGAAAGAAATGCTTCGATGGTTTGGTCATGTGGAAAGTATGAATGAGGAAAGAGTGACAAAGAAAATTTATGTTGCAGAAGTGAATGGCAGAGTCGGAAAGGGACGTCCTAGGCGAAAATTTATCGACCAAATTAACGATTTATTTAAAACGAGCCAAATTAGGAGTACCCTTAACCGACGAGCATGTATGCGTTGGTATATGGACGTGAAGGAGGCGAGAGAGGTGTGTCAGGATCGTGCCAAATGGAAGTCTGTAGTCTCTGTTAACCCGTCTGGGTGACACGCGTGAGAGTTTATGTAATGTAAATACGATCTATATGTTAACACTATACGCGACCATAGCTGTGGCAGCACTGTCGTCGCGTATAGTGTTAAACAGTCGCTGCCCGAGGAGGAACTAAAACGTGGGAGCAGGACGCCGAATGGCACCATGTGTCGCGCTTACTGGTCTTATAGAGGCCATAATAATTTCAGTTTCACGCTCGTACACATGACTATCATACGAGAAACAAGGGAAAAGTGCATAATAACAAAATTAAAATTATATTTGTTATAACCGTTACCATTACAGCCTATTACAGTCCACTACTGAACATAGACGTCCCACATAGAATACCCCCATACGGGGGATATATACCATAGTTACCATGCATGACAAGCGGGTTGGCGACCGCAGTATTTTATTTTTTTATTTTTAGTCTTTATTAGGAAGACGCTGCTGCCCATCTCTTGATTAGTTTCCCTCTGTCGCCTCTTACGATACCCACGGGATGATATGGTATTCGATATCCTTGTACCGCCACTATTTTACAAGCGAAACACCGAAACCTAAATCACACTATCTAGGTTCCAAAGTACTGCGCTGTGCATAGAATACCTCTGCGGGAGATCTCCTCTTTTTATTAAACTTTTAAAACGTCTTTAAATTCCTTTCATAGCAGGAGGCAATTCAGAAAAGTGATGATGAAAAAAATCGAGAAATACAGTTTGGTGTTGCAGCTACATATCTATCATCTACATCCAAAATTAAATTACACCATTCGATAGCTAAAGGATCAAAGAATTCGTTATGTTAAGTGAAAACTGTGGCGCATAGCGCACAGCGGAGCGCCACCATTTTGAATCCGTTTCCTTACGTATACGTATTCACCTAAAACCGACGGGCGGAAGCGGCTCCACGGCACACCCACACACCGATTTGGAATGGAAGATAAAGTGGAACCGGGCTGATCACGTTTGCAGCAGACAGTCTACAGCAACTACAACACGTACGAATTAACTTGAGACTCCGCTGGAATGCGACCCCCTTCCCGACTGCCCGCACCGCGTCCCGCGCTCGCCGTGCGCGCTCAGTACCGATAGCATTTTTGTTACGGATACGCGTCTCGACTCTAGTTCGATATTTTTGATAATTGTTTGTTGTTTGGTTTGGACTTTTGTTTGTTTTTGTTATACTTGAACGTTATTTTATCTGTTTGTTGTTAATTGCGTTGTTTTATTGTTAAGTTTGGACATTGTGTTGTGCCGTTTTCTTGTGACGCTTAGGAGTTACTCCGCCTTTTTTATTTTTAAAAAAAGATGGGAGGAAAGACAATACATAGCCAAGCACGGACACTTGCTCTAAAAGTTTTAAAATTTTTCGAAGATGAAAAATCAAATAAAAAGTTTCTTATTCCTGTGGACCAAGCTTTAAAGAGGGCTTGTGCAGCAACAGGCATATCAAAGGCAACACTACTAAGAATGAAAAACGAGGCGAAAAAAGTTCAGTCAATTTCTCAAGACCAAAATGATGATGTCACAGTAGTATCGGAACCATGTACTTCTCAAGCAAGACCAGAACTTAAACTACCAACTCCAGGAAAAAAAAGGAAACAGAGCTCAAAAACAATTGAACTCGACAATTTTGATCTGTGTGCTCTAAGAAACCTTGTCAACAGTTTCTATACAGTACGGAAAGAAATTCCAACATTGAAAAAGATTTTAACGGCTGCAAAAGCAGATCTAAATTTTCCAGGTACGTACCCATATTTATTGACATTTTTTATATGTATTATATATCATACTTTAGGTCATATCATATACAAGGTGACATTTAATTCAAGCATAATCTTGTTAGGGGTGCTAGAACTGGTAATTTGCAACAATTTTATGTACGGACACCCATATGAAAAAGTGAACCATTTCTGAGATATTTAACTTTAAATTATTTTTTGAAAAAATACCACGCGATAATAAAAATTAAAAATAAAATCTTTATTTTACAGGTGAAAAAACCACGTTACAACGAATACTCGTTGACTACTTGGGGTACAAATTTAAAAAAATGTAAGAACGCAAGACAAGTCTTAATACAAAAGCCAGACATTGCTACCTGGAGAGCCCGTTATTTACGAAGGAAGAAAGAAAACAATGAACTTGGGGTGGACAAAAAACCCGCAACTTATTTAGACGAAACATGGATTCACTCCCACTATACCGTGCGCAAATGCTGGCAAAATAACAATGACGCAAGCATTAGAAAAAATGATAATCCAGGACAGCGGTGGATATTGGTGCACGCTGGCGGTGAAAACGGCTTTATCCCTGGTGCCGAATTGCTTTACAAATGCAAAAGTAATGCCGGGGACTACCATCACGAAATGGATAGTAAAAACTTTAAAAAGTGGTTGACAGAAAAACTAATCCCAAACTTACCTCAAAACAGTCTCGTTGTTATAGACAATGCTCCCTACCACTCAACGCAGTCTGAAAAACCACCCGTGAGCTCGTCCCTGAAAGGTGAGATGCAGAGTTGGCTTCGGAAAAACAACATTCCTTTTGATGAAAAAATGACGAAACCGGAACTGTACCATATAATACTGCTCAATAAACCACCGAAAAAATATATAGTGGACGAACTCATGAGGGAGCATGGACACGAGGTATTACGGCTGCCATCCTACCATTGTGATTTGAACCCTATCGAATATATATGGAACTTAATAAAACAAAGGGTGGCAGCTAAAAATGTTAACCAGTTTGAAAGGGAAATAGAGGGTTTGACAAGAGACGCAATACAGTCTATAACGGCTTCCGATTGGAAGAAAGAAATTAACCATATCGAAAGATTAGAAAATGAATACTAGGAGAGTGATAGACTTGGAGAAATCCAACAGAGAGAATTAATTATATCCCTCGGAGCAGAAGAATCCAGCTCAGAGAGTGAAAGTGAGGACGATCTAATGGACGGAATAGAACCGATCTTATACAGTGACAATGAATAATAAATATTATAATAAATCCTTATTAATATTCCTTACTTCTATTCCTTGATTTTACATAGTTTGTGCTGTTCCGCTCATCCAAGATTGATTCACTTTCACCCTAAGGTTGCCTGGGAGAGATTGCTTTTTAGCAATAAGGTCGCCTGTTATGCTTTGTATTTTTATTGTGTACGAATCTGTAACACTTTATAGTGCAATAAAGTGTATAATAAATAAATTAATAATATTATAAATGAGAAAGTGTGTATGTTTATTTCTTTGTCCTTCCTTGACGCGTTAACTACAAATAATATTATATATATTATAAAAAATAAATATTTAAAATATATAAAAATGGCAACAGTATATCACTTATTACTTCACCCCTTGCCAGAACATTTTATTTTGTTTTTATTAATAATCTCATGCAAATCTCAAAAATTTCAAATAAAAAAATATTACGACGCATTATTTTGCACACCGTACATTGACAATTACGTCATCGGCCCAGGTCTCAAGTTAATTCGTACGAGTTATACGTGGCAGGCCATGGTGAAAAGGTGGAATCACCTCGATCAGTTCTTAATGGAATGACCCAAACACACAATGGAATTTATAGAGAGCAAACAGGATGGTTTTGCTAAAATACGCCAGATGAAAAAAATGTATAAAAGAAGTATAAAAAAAAGAAATACGAGAGAATATAAATAGAACGAATTGATGGACCGCATTTAATTATGAATGAATTTGTATTCTTTTGCTTTTTTTAAGCTTCCCTTGTAAGTCGATTGTAGCAGATTTCGTCTTATTGATTCACTCACACGCTGAATAGCTAGCGTCCGTGTTGACTTCAGGCAGCCTTTTTAATTATTCTTACTGTAGGCCCGATTGAATCAAATGTTTTAATCAATTCGAGAATTTGACTATATGCTAGGTGCTTCACTAATGTTTCGTGAATAAACTAAATGAAAACGGTAAATTAAAAGGAATTATTATTTGTATACTGCATTGCAGTAATCACCTCCAGCAGGAATAGCGATCTGAAATCGATTAATCGAAGAATCGATGTTTTGGGGAAAAAACATAATATATGGAGGAAGTTACGGATGCTGGTGACTCAGAATTTGTGGCATTCCTCGGGGAAGGCTTATATGCAGCAGTGGGTTTGTGAAGGGCTATGATGATGATGATTCGATATTTTAATCGATTTTGAACAATAGATCAATATCGTGATTAAATCGAAACACTCAAAATTGGAGGAGCCTTGGTAGCTCAGTGGTTAACGCTCGCTGTAAATATAACAGAACGCGGGTAACCCGGGTTCGATCCCCGCCGGCACCAATGAAATTGTTAATTGCAATTTTAAGTGCTGATTTACCACGTGCTCGGCGGTGAAGGAAAACATCGTGAGGAAACCTGCATGTCCGAGGAATAAGAAAAAAAAATATTTCGAAGACATGTGAAGTTCGTCAACACGCATTTGGGCAGCGCGGCGGACATTTCATTGCCCTAAACCCTCTCAGAAATGAGGGGGAGGCCTGAGCCCAGCAGTGGGACGTATATAGGCTGTAACTTTTATTTACTTACTTTTACTCAAAATTGAGATTGATTGATTGATGAGATTTTTTTCTATTTTAGTGAGATTGCAATATATGAATACTAACAATTTGTTGAATGCACCCGAAGAATTTTTGGTTTTTATTATTGTTATATCTGTTTATTCAAATAAAACCTCGAAAAGAAATTTTTTAAATCGATTAGAATGTTTATTTTTTAAACTTTAAATTAAAAAACATAGTTTTTTTTAACTTTAAATTAAAAAATCATTAGTAGATTTCTCAAAAATCGGTCCTTTTATTAATTTTTAATAAATATCGCCATCCCTATTCGCATTTACAAACCGCACACACCCATACTAACCTATATTAAACAAGTCTAACCTATATTAGTAACGTATGTACTTAATGTAGGTACTAAATATGAACTTTTATTGCAGGCCTCTTCGCGAGGAAGAACTACTTACATCAAGAATACACCAGTATCCGTCACCAGAGAGTGGATTATTAGGCAAGAAGAAAGAGTCTAAGAAGAATAAAACATCCGCCAAAATTTCGACAGAAAAAGTTTCTAATAAAAAGAAAGAGAAGAAGACTAAACGTAATAAAGACATAGACTTAATGTTGTCAGAGGTAGACAAAAATGATGTAGTGGAGAATTTATTAATAGATAATATAGAAAAAAGTAAAAGCGACGAGCATACGAAGCAAAACGTGACAAATGATAAAAACGATGAATATGTGAAAAATAAGACTGAAAAACACAGAAAATCGAAGAAAGAATTAAAGAAAGACAGGGAATCTAAGAAAAATAAATTATCTAAAAAAGGTATTATGTTGATAATTTAATCGTTATGCCCTCAAGCATTTCAGTTTCATTTATTTATTACTAAGTTAATTTCATGCTAATATAATACATAACATGTTTTGTTATAATAATAAAAAATATAAACCTATTTCAGATAAACACGAAACAAAGCGTGGATATGAAGAAGCACTAGGTATTTCAACCCCTAGTAAGGAAGTTATATAGTCTATAACAGAATGTTCCTTCCACCTTTTCACATGGAGTCTCAGTGCAATCGTTTCTTTGAACAACTATATTATTTTATTAGTTTCATAAATATATAGGCAATGCTTTCATTTGTCTTTCTAAGTAAAATATGTCCATTTAAATGTTAGATATATTAAATACTTCTATCAGTTTAGAGTAAATTATATTATGTATAATCATGTACAGCTTTATTAAGATGGAGATTTATGTAATAAATAAATTCCCTTCGTTTAACCCTTTATAAGGCATAAGCATCTAGGGGTGGATAAGTAAAACTGTTGATGGTTTTAGACTATTTTTATTATGGTTTTTCACAAAATGCAAATAAGAAATTCAAAAATTTAAAAAAACACGGTGGTAAATATTTTCCCGCTGCCCGTGACGCCTTAACTAGCCTTTCCTATGAAATGCAGTAAAACATGGTGCTATGCAGAGCGGAACTTTGCATTTTTCACATATAACTTTCGATCTTTTGTCTTTTTCTTTTGTGCTACACATTCTGCAACGTTTATATGAAGGCGATTCAACGGGCATATGGTCTCCAACGTTGGTGAAACGAACTTCCTCTGCGACAACATGCACTGCCTTTTGGCGATTCTCAGAAGCAATTTTTTTTCTGCAGATATAGTTGACTAAACTACCAGATCGTCGTTTTCTACTGGAAAACCCACTGATCAGTCCTCTAGCGACAGAGACTCGAAATTCAAGATTGCTTAGTTTTGTCGCATTCTTATTTTGGCAATATAACAAGTATGCATTTGTTATACTTGTATCTAAAAGGAAAAAGAATATTCGGACCCACCATCTCCTACTTCTTCTGCCTACTGAATAGGTACTTTTTATCTGATCAAAGTGATCAACGCCTCCCATCCTTTTAGTATACTCCTTTATTGCTAACGGGCAGTTGATTTCTTGTTTTGTGCCGTCTTTCTGAGTCCGTAAGACAGTGGTTTTGCCAACTTTTGGATGGAATGCATTACTCAATAGGAGAACCTCTTTGGTATCTTGCCAAACTAAGAAAGATACATTTCCCTTGACTCTCCATTTATATTGTCCTTTTGCAAGCTTCTGATTCGTTTTTACAAGTACAGGCAGATGTTTTCTGTGTCTTCGTACAGTTCCTGTAGCATAAATGCCATTTTCATATAGATATTGCATTAGAGTGTAGTCACAGAAGAAATTGTCAAATGTAATAATAATATGATATTCCTCCAGTGCTTTATTTATCAGCTTTTCAGTCAACATCTTCACAACTTTGGATCCTAGTCCTTCCTCTGTTCCGGTTTTTGATTTTCCAGTGTATATGTAGAATTCATAGAGATACCCAGTTTTACTGTCACAGCGACACCATACCTTGTAACCTCTTTTTATGGGCTTTAGAGGCATATACTGTTTCATGAAAGACCGGCCTTTGAAGAGAATCATCGATTCATCAATACTTTGGGATGAGGAGTCTTTGGCATTTTTCTGACATGCCTGAGTGATAAGATCCAATAATGGGCGTATTTTGTAAAGTTTGTCATAGTTCTCGCTTGTCTTATCTGGTATCTGTGTATTATCATTCACGTGCAGATTTCGCAATATCTTCTTGAATCGCTTTACGGTCATAGTCTCTGCTATTTCATCTACCCTGAAACCAGGGTCGGAAGACCAATAAAGGTCAATAGAAGGCAGAATATTGTATCCCATTATTATAAAAATCCCTACAAAGGCCTTCAGTTCTTTTTTATCTAATTGTGTCCATCCTTCATCTTTCCTTTGCTCTGCATATAAGTTTGTTTGATATATTATCAAATCGTAGACTTCATCAGTGAAGAATTTTTCAAATACAGTTACAGGTCTAGTACGGCTGCTAAACATAATTGCCGGTTCCATCGGAATTTCATCGTAAACGCTAGGACTTGGCCGATCAGTTGTCCACATAGTTTTTTTTCATGTTTCCTCTTCGCCGTCTGAATCATCTGTTTCCGAATCTGAGTTAGTATTTGCTACTGGTGATTGTGGTTGTCGCCGTAAGGTCTGTTGAGTGCCAGAAGTACTGGGTGCATTTTGGATTATTCTTGCCCGCCTAAGCCGGTCACTGTTGGTTGGTTGAGGTGATGGACTAGGTTGGTTTTCAACAGACGCATTACTTATATTACTAATAAGACTATCAGGTGGATCAGGTGTGGGTGCTAGAATTCCATCATGAGGCTCATCAAGGCTCTCTAAAATTCTTTGAAGTTTCACTGTACTGTACTGCACATCTTCTTCATCGGATTCCAAATTATCATCTGACACATCGGGATCATCAGGTAAACCAAAAATCTCTTCTAATGCACAAGCTATTTCCAAGTCATTCAGTGCCTTTTCATTCATTTTCAAAATATAAATCTGTAACAACCAATACATACTGTCAGCTCCACGGGCAAAGGGAACATTTTTACCACCACAAAAAGCCCCTACTAACAAAATCTGCAAAATGTAGAATTGAAAATATGCTTGAATATCAATGAAATATACAATAAGCTTTAGAAATAATAACAACTTACCGTTCATGAGTCGCAGATATAAAAGATTTATAAAGATTTTAGAAGTCGTACCGAAACACACCCGATTTCAGTCTTCCAAACGTCACAGTGTAAAATCTAAAATGGCGACGTGTCATTACCATAGATGAAAAATGTTGACCGGATATCCATAAAAATGTTGCCAATAGGAAAAAATCTTTCCCTAAAATTTGCTTAACTAATAATGTGAAAATTAGTGGTGGGAAATATATTCCCGCTGCCTTAAAAAGGGTTAATATTATATCGACCAATTGATTTTATTATTATTATTATACTTTAGTCAAGAAGCTAGGTGATTTTTTTGTTAATATATTACACACATGTATATTGCATGGTCTTTAAAATTTTAAAGTTGCTCCTATGCATCAGTTATATATATTTTTTAAACTTTAGGAATTTTGTCACATTAATAAGTAAACATGTATATACATTTAAAAATATCTAATTAAAATGCTTTCTAATATGCAAAGCTACTTCCAAAAGATTTTATTTCTTAACCTTGTTTAACGCGTGGTTAGGATTAACATTGCACATAAATCATAACATCAAAGGACTCTGGCTATTGAGAACGGGGTCGCGTAAAAATATAAGCACTTTAAAATTGGATATTTAAAAAAAGAAACTTGATTTTTTTTTGACGAAACATTAATTATCTTTATCTAAAATGCCTAATTTCTCCCGTCAAATTATATCTCAACGTATAAAAACTTAACCTTTTGTCCGTACTTAAAACAATACAATATTTTAATAAACTTTTTATTAATATTTAACACCTATTATTTACCCACAGAAGCATTCGATAAATTTAATTCCAAGCTGAAGTTATAAATTTAAAATATACATTTTAAGTTTTATTGTTAACATAATTGTCTGTTGTTAGAGCTGCTTGTCTGTCTAGGAATCCGTATTTGTGATACCGACATCTTTCTTATTTGCATTTCTTAGAAGCAAAGAAACAATGCAATTATTGGGTTATACCGTTTATTCATCATAGTGTGGATACTCGAAAACGCGTACGTCTATCCACCCCAGACGGGGATAGACGTTCACGCGTTTTCGAGTATTCACCCTAGGGTGCATAAACGGAATAACCCCAATTTTTGCTGTGCGGCATTGAGGGGATAGCCAATATAGTGGAAGCCACAGTTATAGGCTGTGTATATACTATACTACTCGGCTGCTTAGCCTGGTGAGTAATAATATTGCGTATCTTTCAAGTAAGGCTTCTCATGTATCAAATTCTTGGAATGGCCTATTATGTCATGACATGAAAGGGCTCAAGAAAAACATTGAATTTTTACAATATTATGTTTAATTTATTTTAATTTAAAATATTACATATATGGTTGGAAAAGTTTATATATAAATCGTACAGTACAATATTACAAAATATAAACATAAAAGTAAAAATATGCATCATACAGGAGGACAAACCCCTCTGCCCCCTTTCTTGTTATCTTGTTTGTAGGTGATATCAATCTATAAAATAAAGAAATAATTCAAATAATGTTAACAGTTCTTCACCTAAGCAGCAGATCTCTTCAATTGACGTTAAAATTTGTTATGAAGTATAAGCCCCGCACGTTGATATTGCGATGAAACTTTGTCACAATAACAGCTGCGTGACGTCATCCACCGCAAAAAAGTACAAACAACAAAAACTTTAATCTTCTTTTCGTGTGAGGTGTTGCCACCTCTGGTGAAAAATGTTAATAACCTTGGGTTATAGGTATTTATATTATACTAGCTTGCCAGGCAGACGTTGTTCTGCACAACATTCTTAAATTCGCAAAAAAAAAATTGTGGGTCACTCATGGGAAAAAAAAACTATCCTATCTCTCAGGTGTGACCAAACTGCACACGGTGTGCAAATTTTATTAAAATCGGTTGAGTAGTTTAGGGAGAAACAACGTGATATGTAAATTATATATATACACTAGCTTGCCGATGCTTATATCACTATAATGTAACCGCTTTTATTATTTATAATAATAATAATAATTGTTTATTTCCCTTAAAAATCAGAATAACATATGAACTTACAGGTCATATATTGGCTAAAATAACGTAAAACGAACTTGTTTGGTTATCTGAAGACAAACTAGGAAATTCACCTGTATTTTGGACAATAAATAATAGTACTACGTACAGAAGTTACACTTTTTTGATGTTGACTGCTTGCCGACTTTTAATAGCATACATAATTATTAATTGGATAAGTCGCGTACGTAAGCTAAATAAAACTATCGCTCCTCGCTAGTGTCCATAATACTTTGCAACTTTTCCCCTTCCTAAGTCAAGGTGGACCCCGTGGTTACTAAGGGATGTTAATAAAAAGTAAAAAAAAATACATTGCGAAATGTTAATTAAGTTACTTAGGTGAAGTACCTATTCTGACTATGATCGACTGACAATATTTTCGCACCGATGTGAGTTCTGCGATGCCCAACGCATGCAACTTGCAAGGCCATTCGTCGGGAATCGCGATGCTTGGCTCGGAAGAAAAAGGTAGATAGTTTAAACAACAAATAAACTTGAAATACGGTTCTATTTATTTAAAATAGTTAGTTAACAAAGTTTTAATTTCTGTGTTTTGTGTTATTATAGCTTAAAATATCTTAAATACAAAAGACAAGTAGGTATAGGTATGTAAGTAGATACTTGGATAGTGAAGTAAATTTCGTAGGTATTAGATAAAAACTATTTCAATAAGTATTTACAAAAAATTATTTACGTAAACAGCGTTAAAAAACTTTAAAATTCAATCGCCTACAACGCGATAGCCTCGACTGCGTATTTTACCCAGGGTGACTCTAGAGATGATCGATTATCATCGATGTTGCCACATGTCAAACATCGATGTCAATGACCCAATAACCGATTGATAAGAACTTGAACAATGCGAACCCGCAAAATTAATATCAGCTAAATATTTCATCTCCTATTTCAGGTTTAAAATTTTGAATAATAAAGAATTCCTAAATGCAACGATAACCTAAAAATATATCATTATGTTGTGTCAAACTCCCTGTCAATTTTGAACTGCAATGTCACAGTTGTAACTGCTTTCGGTTTATTAATGTGGTGTCGTTTTCAGTTATCGCCTAATAACTTTTCTACCTAATGATGATGACATGACACACGATTTTGAAACAATATAAATCTACACAATTTAATTATATTTAGCTGTTTTTTTTTAAACTTAGGATAACAAGTTTATTGTTTGCTTGAAGTTTATGTAAATAAATCACTGGGCGATCGTGAGCGTAGACAATTTCACTGCATAGTGCATTCCACAGTGCATTTTATAAACGGCTGTGGATACTTACTGCTTGGGTTGCCTGATTAAAAATTGTGTGAAAAAAGGTGACGGAAAAGTCTATTATTTTGTTTTTGTGAAGTTTGTTAATTTTCCCTCTATAATATTTTTTTTATTCCGCGATAAGAGTAGTTAATATAAAACCTACGTCTAAAGAGATGGCTGACAGAAATTCCCCTGGAAAGCCTTGGCGAGAGAGCAGAATGAACGGGTTCCAGAAGGAAGGCGAACTAGTTTCTCGCCAATTCTGCCTATGTGCTCTGACTTTGCCTTAGCAATGACTCTTTTGAAGGACCTAGAAGCGGAATTATACTTCTTTTTTAGAGCAATGGTGTTTACATCCCGGGACGTTGATGCGTCAGCCCAGGCTTGGTAGCACTCCTGCTTATAGCATGATGCTATTTTACAGGAACCACCAAACCATGTCTGCGATTTGCCTTCAATGGGCACCGCAGAGGAAGGAATAAAAAGTTCCATACCCTGAAGTACCACATCAGCGACAGAATCCGCAACAATGTTGGGATCGTCCGGCGAGAAGCAATACAAAGAAAAAGTAAATTATGATAGTAATGTTTTTAATACCGGATTTATAATTGTATAGGAACATTTAAATATCAAAATATTAATAATTATATTCATCATTATCAGCAAAAAATAAAACAAATTAACTAAATATTTATTAAGTTTTTCCCATTTTTCCAATTAATGTTTCACACTAAATGTTTTTTTAATTTCTTTAAATTAATTAATAATAAACCATAAAAACACTACAAATTTTTTTCATCTTATTTTAACCTACTAAATAGGTACATGTGCTATAACATCGATAATGGCCAACATCGATGTTTTGAGTAGGATAAACATCGAACATCGATGTTAAGCTATCGATATCAACATCGATGTTGATATCGATACCTACTACCCTAACGGACTTACAATAGATAACCTAAAACAACCAAATATACATCAACATTACGAATATACATTAACACTGTGCAACTAGCCTG